TCTCTCTCTCTCTCTCTCTCTCTCTCTCTCGGCCGAAATATCGATTTGATTTCGGATATTAACGCATTGCGGGTTGCGTGCACACGCGCGAGGGATATTTTGATTTGTATATCCGTGGCTTGTAATACGCTTACATGGAAAGTTGTTTTCATCCGATAAAGTAATCGACGTTGTTACGGAATTATCTGGCTTGGCTGAATTGGTTTATTATCGAGAGAGAAAAGTTATTAAAATTGATATAATGAATTAGTACCTGCAGGTTGCAATGTGGTAGTAATAATCGATTCCAGCATATTTCCGTTTTATTACAAACAAGTTGAAAGAACAATCAATTTTTTATGTCACTATACCGATTTCAAAAATGACCTTACAGTTTTATACAATGTTGTTCGCTATTTTTTAATAATTATTTCTTGACTTTTGTAGATAAACTCGCAGTTCATCGTGTACTTCAAAAACAGTTTCTATGACTTTACACAATTTTTCATATCGTCTGCTTTTAATTGAGGTTGCAATTTAAAAATACTTTATTTGTGTTTAATATTTCGTATATAATCAATATGCATTGAATCCAAATTTTCGGACGTAGATGGCTGTCTCCAAACGCAATTGATATTGCACCTATATATTAATCAATCTCTCGGAAACAATTATCTACCTTGTAAAATAATATCTTACGATTGGTATTTAAAAAGACATAGTTATTATATTATGGAATCTTATAACCTAAAAATTACTGAATATTAATTAGATAAACACTTTATCATGATAGAGATGCAACATTTTCAAATAAAATCATGCAAATAAATTATATTCCAAGTTTTGCTTCGCGAATAAAATGAATGACTACTAATTCGATTCAACTATGTGAAATATATTAATATAGCAATGGCCATCTAATCAAAGACTTCTAGTTACAACAACACTACTCCGATTTTTATTATTGCGGTAAATCAATTTTGACTACGCTCCCTTCGTTTGAATGTACCTTAAGTTAAAGACAAGGAATATTCCAAAATTTGTAGATAAATTGTTTATGTTTGAAGAATCAAGATTTGTTTTGTAATCTGGTTAGTCAGTCGTAATTAACAATACCGTATTAAATGCACACGAGAAATATGTATTTAACTAAATCTAATTTTTAATGAAGGATCAAAATATAAATAATCCATTGAAATAGTGTGGTATATAAGAATTAAAAGCAAATTGCACCCTACTTCATCATGTTTTTTTTTATTCGACCTTTGAAATTTTTATATAACCACTTCAGACTAAATCTCTAAATCATAAGTATTTGGATTACTAAACTACGAAAAAAAGCTTTTAACCTTGTGCCTAACATTTGGAAAGTTGCAGGTTTAAAATATATTCGTAAACATTTACATATGAGCTTTAAATTGTCATTCCTAGTTGAATAAGAACACAGGCCTGCAAGGTTTTGTTCTTTTGCAACTGAGGGTCATTTCCGAAGTAATTTTTGGCGTAGCATTCGAATCCGTCATCAGAATTTCTCCATCACGTCAGGTTTTTGAGTAATCGTCCCCTAAAGGTCGAAAAAACACGTTTTTTGGCCATATTCAAGGCTTGATTACATCGTGAGTTTATATTCTTTTCAAAAACGGTTGACGGCATTTTAAAGAAGCACTCTTACCCTTCAAAACCCATTTTTCAAATTTAAGATATCATTTTTTTTCATCAAGATATCATCAATTGAAGTTTGCCATTTTTGAGGATTCACCATGAGCTTAAAAGTTCGGCCAATTTTCCTGGAAGAATACGATATATTTCTTAGTTTTTTTTTATAATGATTCTAGAATCAGTTTTTTTTTATAATGATTCTAGAATCATTATAAAAAAAAAACTAAGAAATATATCGTATTCTTCCAGGAAAATTGGCCGAACTTTTAAGCTTAATGATACTTTTAAGATGAACTTTTAAGCTTTAATGATTCTAGAATCAGTTTTTTTTTATAATGATTCTAGAATCATTATAAAAAAAAAACTAAGAAATATATCGTATTCTTCCAGGAAAATTGGCCGAACTTTTAAGCTCATGGTGAAACCTCAAAAATGGCAAATTTCCATTGATGATATCTTGATGAAAAAAAATGATATCTTAAATTTGAAAAATGGGTTTTGAAGGGTAAGAGTGCTTCTTTAAGATGCCGTCAACCGTTTTTGAAAAGAATATAAACTCACGATGTAATCAAGCCTTGAATATGGCCAAAAAACGTGTTTTTTCGACCTTTAGGGGACGATTACTCAAAAACCTGACGTGATGAAGCAATTCTGACGACGGATTCTAATTCTACGCCAAAAATTACTTCGGAAATGACCGTAAGTTGTAAAAGAACAGTGACGACTCTCTATTTTGCAGGCCTGTGGAATTATTCATTATCCTATTAACACATTTATACATAATATTGTTATTAACATTTTGATCTCAAAATTAAAAATTAGTCAACTGATACAGAATACAAGCCGCACAACAAGGGGAAGAATATAAGTCAAATAAAAAAAAATGAAGTAAAATTCAATATCGATCGAGGCATCAAACTTGTTGTATATGTACATAGTGGCTCGACTCTAATGAATCCTCAAGAGACACTTGACGGCAATTACGTCGCGGAAAGCTTATCGCCGTGCCAGGAAACTCACATGTGAAAGCGCATGTTGGAAAAAAAGCGCTGACTCGTTTGTGTCGTCTTCCTTATGAACCGGACTTCCATCAGCCCCCAACGGCTGTTCAAACAAAGTTGCGCGCGTTATTTATGCATTTGCGCTATTTATGCAGGTAAATTGACCGCGGATTATTATCGTCTTACGTATGAGCTGGTGATATACTTAGTCCAATTTTGATTCTTGACTTTTAATGCCAATTTTGGAATACAATATCATTTAAGATTTCATTTCGTCATAAATCGTTTTTTTCTCATTTTATTCTTATTTTTTCTTTTAGTGAAACTTAATAATTTGCAATAAAATTTATCAAAATCAAAACAATAGAGCACCTGTTTAGCTTATGTGTGTATATACAAAATAGTACAGCCAACTGTATTAAATATGGCAGAGAAAATTCATTTTTACAAATCAGAAAAAAAAGCTCATCCAATAAATTATAAGATGATTTCGTTAATCTTAAATATTGAAAAATTAAATAATAAAATAAAAAGCATAGCAATTTATCACAATAGTTTCAAAAATAACATCAGAGATTTAAAAAAATTCATATAAAATGTAGAGCATCAATATCATTAAACCAACTGATTTGTTACTATTAAGAATTTATAGTCAAAACAAAGAGAAAATCGTGAATAATATGAGACTTTTAGTTTTGAGTTTTTTTTTTAAGTTTTTTTGTTATACTTAATTTTCTATACTACATACTAGCTTATTACATACAGATAAGTTTACCTTTGCAAATTTTGGCATGCTATAAGATTTATAACATGTAACTATTTTCTGGTAAATAAGCTCAATATTGAACTAAGCTAAATATAAAAAATTATATAAAAGCTTGTATATTACCTTGACCAACTTACATAGAGATAAATATGGATATGAGATATAATATATGATATCTCAATCTAGGAATTTACATATTTCTAAGAATCATCTTATATTTTTATACGTTTGAACATTTTATAAGTTTGAAAGTATAACTCACAAAACTGCATTAATTTCACAATCTTGTTACAATTATTATTCTTGTCAGTACTTTCTTCAAATGTTTTGGCTCTACTTACGATAACTCCTGTAAATAATATTTGTAGATTAAGATTTTGTAATATATTTATTGATAAATTTTACATCCTACTTTACTTTAACTTTTGTTTTAATTTGAATCCTTAGATATTTATTCGAATCACTTTTCATTGGATATATATATATATATATATATATCCAATGAAAAGTGATTCGAATATATATATATATATATATATATATATATATATATATATATATGTATGTATACTCTTCAAATTGTTTTATTTTCAAATGTTTATAGTGTACTTTTTTGCAAATGATATGTTACGATGGTTTATCAATTGAATTTATTTTAAGAACTTTCAAGTACTATTTTATTTGTTGCTTTATAAGCACGCTTCATATAATGCTTATAAAATCATTAGTTACTAATTTCAATAACTATTAATACTCCTAGTTTTGTATCTCTTAGACTTTGCTAGTATAAGGATTTTTCAAGTGAATAACAAAATAACAGATTTAATAGAGTCAACATTGAATAAAAGTAGAACATTTTTCTTAATGGATTTTTTTCAAATACATTTTCCATTATACAATGAATATCTTTCTAATCTAATCTATTCTTATATTGCTTAAAAATTATATTTTTCACAATTAATTTTTAAATCATGACCTAAATGTCTAGAGCAATATACTGATAATACTTATTTTTATATATTTATCAATATGATTAAAATAAGCTTGACATATGACAATAGTAATAAGAATTTTGATACAATTATAAATATATTGTGTGTATGATGACAAAGTAAAAAGTTGCATGAATGCTTTTTTCTTAAAATCTCTAACTAATTAAAACGCAAGCCGAATCTAGCTGAATTAGCTGTAAAATAACTATTGCATCCATGACGTAACTAAAAAAATTACCCATATTTGCAATTGTTTATAAAGTTATTTAAAAAAAAATAACCAAAAATTTCTTTATTTTAAAACTAATAACGGCTATCGATTCTATGGAAAAAATTAAGACAGAGATTTTTATATACCTTTTTGTCAGAGTTCAATAATCTCTGATAAATACTAGCATATGCCATGTATAAGCTACAGAAACTACTTTGTACAGACGAAAGGTGTACATTACGAGACTCATCAAACTTGCTCTTTGTTACTTTACACCATACTTTAGAGTGACCGTGTACTGTGACTACCGTGAGAGACCATTACCACTCAATGCCTCATAGTAAATTTCTTTAGTCAGGAAATCTGCAAAGCATTTATCATTTATATCGAAGTGAAAGGTAGACATTATACTTTTTCTACAAAAAGACAAACATAAAAACAAAAGAAATTGCGAAATAATAATACTCGAAAGCAAAAGTTACTTCCGGTAATCTCGACTGATGGAGTCAAATAATAAATAATAAAGTTACCAAATTGACTTGAACATAACCTTGCGTCAATCTCCGATTGATACACGTGCAATAGTCGGCGGCTATATATTACGGCGGTAAAAACATAATTGACGGTTCTGTTTGTTAAATAAGTTAGCGGTGGTGCAGCAATGACGACTTTGTTGCCGAAATCCCATCAAGAGTTTAGTAAAGCAAATTATTGGAACACCTTTTTCAAGAAAAGAGGAAAGAAAACTTTCGAATGGTCAGTCTTTTTTATTTACATTATTTTATTACTTATATTTATTTTCATTATCAAATTATAAGTAATTTTTAAAGGTATGGAGAGTTTCCAGATCTGAGCAGCCACTTACTAAAATATATAAAGCCAAATGATAATGTTGTTATAGTTGGATGTGGTAATTCAACTTTGGGTATGGATTTGTACGATAATAATTATAAGTAAGTTGTAACTTCTTTCAAATTAGTGATTGTTACTTGAGTAAAGCAAATATTTTGGGTTTTCTCATTATTTGAAGAAACATCATCAATATTGATTTGTCACAAGTTGTAATTAAACAAATGCTCGAAATGAATAAAGTGAAGAGACCAGATTTGATATTTGAGGCAATGGATGCTACAAAAATGACCTATAGTGATGGAAAATTTAGTGTAGTGTTGGATAAGGGAACACTTGATGCACTAATGTCTGATACAAATGAATCTACTATTGCTTCGACAACAAAGTATCTTAATGTTTGTATTTTCAAGAATTGTGAGTATTAAATGTAATATAAATAAATCATAATAAATATTTTTCTATATCAGGAAATTAAAAGAGTTTTGAAGAATAATGGAAGGTACATTTGTATATCTCTATTACAAGAACATATACTGAAAACTATCATTGAGAATTGTTCTTCAAATTGTGCTATACGTGCGATACGTTGTCATGAAACTGAATTAAAAGCAAAAGAACAAGATGAAAGTCCAATGCCTGTTTTTATGGTCGTAGCTACAAAATTCATAAAACTTCCTCAACCAGTACATTTCTAAAATTACATAAATTGTAATTTGAACTAATTTATACAGAAATTAATATAATTTTTTTTTTATTTTAGATTGTAGAAATAGTATTGACAGATGGACCATTGGTAAGACTGTCTAATCCTGAAGAGCTTATAAATAGCATTATATCTATTCAAGAATCAGCCTCCTTATGTAACAATCTCTATAAAAGTTGTGTTGCTAATGAGGGTGAAGTATCTCTAGATTTGTATAAACCTGGTGATAAAGAACCAAGATATACAGTGTATATTTTGGATCAACTTTTAACAAAAGAAAGGAAAACCTATGCATGCTTCATAGTACCACAAGGCAGGTAAAATATTTTATTATTGTTTATTCTATCATTCACCATTTTAAAAAATTCTTCAATTTTAAATATATTTTTCGAATTTTAGGGAAATGGATTGGCTATTTAGAACAAAGGAAGGCAGGCAGCAGTTATCCAAGTCTGTGCAGTATGACAGATTAGCTATTGTAATACTGAGAAGAGGGCAAATTTTTGAAAATCTTAATACAGTAAAAAAAGAACTTGCAGACAGCATAAAAAGCTTTGCTCCAGCTGCATTGAAAAATCAAATACCTTTTCTGTCACTAGGCAAAGACATTGGTACCAGAAAAATTTTATACGAGGGTAACAGTAATATAAGTGGGCCATTTGTAATTGAAGAAAATGAAACTGAAAATGGCGTTTACAGGAGATTGGTATTTTTAAACAATCAATTTGTAATTCAAAGTGAAGCCAAATTGAAACAAGGTATAATTATAAATTATGCAATATTTATAGTTATCATTCTTAACTAATATTTTTTTATGTAGTGACCACTAGAAGAAAAAAGTCGAAGTATATTGTCGATCCTCATTTTGTCGCATGTGATCATCATCTCTATATGACTGTTGGTTTAAAAACTGCTTTACAGACTAATGATAATGGAGAGATTGTAATAATCGGTCTTGGTGGTGGTGGATTATGTACTTTTATTCGCCAATATATGTCAAGGGTACTAAATCACTCAAATAATTGATAATTTTGCAAAATGCATGCGTAATTATTTATTTTATTTCAGGCAAACATTACCGCCGTTGAAATTGATCCTACAATTTTTAAAGTAGCAACAGACTACTTTGATCTTGTTCTAGATGATAAATTAAAAGTTGAGATTACCGACGGTACGGTTTACCTGCAAAATTCTGCTAAAGAAGGAAAGAAATTCGATGCTATCCTTTTCGATGTAGATAATAAAGATCCAAGTGTTGGTATGAGTTGTCCTCCTAAAGTATTCATTGAACCCGCTTTTCTAAAAACGGTTGAAACTTGTTTGTCGGACAATGGACTTTTCATACTGAATCTCGTTGCGAGAAATGAAACTCTTCGTAACGAAGTAATTAGCGATTTAAAGAAAATATATAAATTTGTAGCCACTTACAAACTATTGGATGATGTCAACGAGATTGTTTTTTGTGCAAAAAATGAAAAAGATTTCAAAGAATGGAGAAATTCGGTTGCGGAATCGGCTAAGAGTATAAATTCTCAAGTAAAAGCAAAAAAACCAGAGGCAGATAACTTTTTTGAAATTACCTCACTACTTAGTAATTTGAGTATTGCTAGTTGAAAGTAAATTTAATTTTTATTATAACTAAAGATTAGTGTACATATATACAAAGCATGTAAATAAATTTTATAATTTTATTATACTAATATGTTAATTTCATTGGAGTATCAAATGATCAATAGTATAATTAGTAAGGTTTCAATTAAATAAATTATGTCTTTTAATTAAAGATTTATTCTTGAAGTTATAGGGTCCACTTTTTTAAATAACACTTTTATTTTTCAAATGAATATAACAAAATTATATAAACTAGCGATAGGTCATATTGATGAATAGTTGTAGTATAAATATCTATAGATATGAAAGTATTTGGAAGATAAAAATGAGTTACTAAAACAAGTTTAGAGATAGAAAGTTTCTTAATAATAAATGTATATAACCGATCACGTTTCAGAACGCTAACTTATCGATATCTCATTATTCGATTCACTTACTAGTAAACCAGTATGATTACAAATTAAAACAGAAATATTGGATTTCGTTCTAAACAGATATCGTGTAAATTTCTACTGATTTCTAAATTTATGTGAAACATCTCAAAATTTAGAATAAACAATTGAAACGCACTTTTACTTTACATAAATCTACTCCAAAAATATCTAATTCTTTTTCCGTCGGAATGTTTCATTTAATTAGGACTAGTTAAAATATAAATTACAAAGTGGTAGTAATGAAAAACCAGTATATAATTTCAACTAATTATCACGTGTATATTTATTCTGCTAGAATGTCTGGTTATACACTTTTAAGTTATATTTTTCGTCGTGTTGGTTTTTATAATTCCTCACAATTGATTGGCATTGAAAGTTTGAATTTAAACTTTTTCATTTTTACCATCAGCGTAGCATATAAATACACTGCTCATAAAATCACACAATATTCACAATACAAACGCTCAATTTAAAAACTGTGAAAAAACATCATTTGGCATAGACAGTACGTACTAAAATTCTTACAACCTACGATTGTAATATATATTGTGTGCGTATATATACTTCGATTGTAGTATCAGAAGTTATCGCCATAAAATCAACGAATAGGAAGATGCACCTTTTTTCACTTGACAGCTTTTAATGAAAGATTCTCTTCAGTTTACCACTTTTATTCTATTCGATGTTATAAAAATAGTACAAGAAATAGAAACTCATTTTCTTTATATAACACAAAAATAATAAAATTTCTTGTATACAAATTATTTTGAGCAATACAATGATTTTATTATGGTTTAATGTTATCTATTTCGATAAATATCCTAATAAATATAATAAATAAATAAATAAAGCCTCTTGATTATTCAGTTACCAAAACTTTTATATTTCTCATAGGACATTTTTCTATTTATTCCTTAAAATCTTTTGTAGTCGAATATATTAACGTCTAAAATTTTAGTCATATAATTGTTTTTACTTGCTTTCGATTTAATTGCGCACTTTTACCAAGGCGTTAATAATCAATCCATTATTAATGTACTACATTAAATTCAAATATTTATTCTCTATTCATGACTAATACTTCTGATTTTGAAAATCGTATTCTATTCTCACGCTTGAATGTGTCATCACAGAAAATAATCTTTAAAAGTATACACTACTACTGCAGGCAAAGAAATATATACATCATTTACTTATTATACCATATATGTCAGATACTTAATTAGTATATGAATATAATTCAACGTATAGAAAAAATTCATTTTTATAAATGCACATATTGAAACGTTTAATTTCAGCTAACTTCACTGCTAATCTATCCTGATTCTCCATACTTTATATTTTATGTGAAAGATATCACAGTATATTTCTTCATAAAATGTACAAATTAGCGTACTAAAATCAACAAAAGCCATTTAAAATCACATAAAATTATTTCATTCCCTTAAAAATTACATAACATTTCACTTACAGATGGAAACTATTTAATATGAACTCGTAATTTTTTTCTTGATATCGTATATCAATTTAATTCTTTATGTTTTCTATCGTGTTTGAATCATATACCACATCCCCCTTATAATTAAAGTAATTTTTATTATTCTTTCTCTTAAAATTGAATTAATTCAAAAGGTTTGTGTAAATTTACTTTATCATTTCAGACATTGATGGTCTTTAGCTCATTTGCTGACGATTCTGAAAAAAGAGTTTACAAACAGTTTTTGATTTATTCCACTTACACTTTCATTAACTTCAAGCAGATTTAACTGCTTTAAATAGCTTTACTCTAAATCAACTTACGTGTTCAAACTTCTGATTGTAGCATTCTTACTTAGACAAAATTACAAACGTACATGATTCATTTAGCTAAATATTTTAAAGCATTCTTACACCATACTCAAACGTTTATTCGATCAAGACCAATTCACTGTACTATTAATAAAGCCATTGATATTAAAGACTGTAAAAACTTGAACTTAATCGATAAAATATCTGCAGATATTGTTTAAAGTATTAGGACACAAATAAGGAATATAAAAAAAACATTTATATATAATGCAATAGTAAAACTGTAAGTTTCAGTAAGTATAGTTATCTCGTTTACTAAATTGATTCCTAACTAAAATCTTACTTTCCCTTGAATACTGGCAAAGCAAGCAACATTCTTTGTATTCTTTCAACAGTACTCGTTAATTTTAACAACATCTGTCCCTAGTTTTGGCAATTATTATTTTCGTCTGCTCAATGAATATATTTTAAATGATGCTGAATGAATAATTTTGATGTTCCTATAATACTACAATGTTCCAAATTACAATTATCTTCGAGAGAATACTACTAAAATGTAAAAACGTATACAACACCCGAAACAATGATAGTTCTCAATTACTTTAATAAATTCGATGACAATAATAATTATTTATAAAATTTATGATGATGACGTCTTAAAAGCTAGATAAAACTATATCAACAATCTCATTTTGGTTTATACCACGCAAAAATATCGCTCGTTGCAAAAGCAAAATGAGATTTTTCACCGTAACAATGTCTATAATTATACCTAGAAAAAACAAAGCTAAACTTGCTTCTTTTTTAACGACTCGTTCATCGTTGTTGGCTACGCAGTCTATGTGCTCAAAAAAGTACTTAATGTGTATATATACTCAGTCTTTGCGTAGCGACAATATATACGTACACAAGCTTTCTACTCCAATCAGAAAAACCTTCTCACCATTTTCTTCAGGCCATTAGTTTTTTTTTCCTTCTTATGCCAACTTGACGGAGTTGCGCTACTTGCTCTTGACTCGTCACTTTCTTCTGTTAAACCGTTGGTCGTCCGGCCGTTAGCGATTCCTAAAGTTGTCAAATTATTGTCTCCATCATTGAGACATCCCGTTTGTTTTTTTGCGCTTCCCGAGAAGGATATTCGCTTACTTCTCGAAACTAAGGCTGTTTTCATGAACGAAGGAGAAGACAGCTTTTTGGCCTTGAAATGGAAACTAGTTGAACTGTTGCCAGTCTATAAACATATTTTAATTAGATTGCTTCCAGTGGTTGACTAGTAAAGCAACTAAGAGTAACTTATACTCACAGATTCATATGCATCATCATCATATGAAAATGAAGTATTCAATCCCCTGTTGCTACATTCCTCGTCTGTTTTGGTCGATTCGCCATTACTCACATCTATGGTAAGAATCTGTACTCTCTTATCCTGCTGTGGTTGATATGACTCATCATTATGAAAATACGTTATAGCACTGTCAGGTGCCGAATCAGTTCTATTGTGCATCTTCGAGTTGTAGTTCTCATTGTTTTGGCTTAAAGCGTAGAGTGCATCGCCGACGGACGCACTTCTGGAGGGTAATTTCAGTTCTTTATCGCCCTCCTTAATGGAAGATTTCACTACAACAGTTTCACGCTTTCGTCGTTTACGTCGGTCTTTCTTCGACAACTGTACTCCGTCCTCAATCATCAGCTGTTCGTACGTTCCGGTAACCTACGAGCAATAGCGCTAGTTATTTTTTATATCACATTGAAGAAATCAGGTGCATTTAATTAAACTATAATCAGGAATGGCATTACTAAAATTTTAAGGTAGATTTTTAGCACCTACAGTCTTTTCTACTTGAATTACTCAAGCTTATGTTTTTTTATACAATTTTCAACTTACAATTAATAAAAATTCCCAAAGAGATCGTGAAATAAAAATTCACATTATAATAAAATGTTATACATCATTATATATTTAGTAAAAGATCAAGATAATTATCATACTTAAAATAAAAAATTACCACGATCGTAAAATCTTATGTAGAGCAATAAAAGTCGAAAAGTACCTGCGCTGCAATCTCACTAGGTCGCCGTTTCTTGGGTTTCTTCAAAAGTTGCTTGCAATTTTGTTTTATAGTTTCATAGGCTTTATTGATAGTTTTCGGCCTTATAACTACTCCGTCACTATCTTCCACTGATACGTCGTAATAATCATTGTCATCTGTTCTCTTACAGTATGAAATTATGAGTATCACAAGTACGACATCCACAACAACAATTAACGAATTTTGCATGAGCGATGACAGATTGAATCGCCAGCTATTACGTTCATACACTAGATCATCGAGTATTTTTGTCAGATTTTCAATTTGATTTCTAAGCGCTGCTACTTCTTCAACTCGTTTATTTTCGCGCTCTTCGCCCTTACGGGATTCTTCTGTCATTGCTGTAACTGCTCGTTCTAGCGAGCGTTGCATCTCTTCTACTTGCTTTTTGTAACGGCGACTTAATTCTTCGAGGTATTGGCTGCTTAGCGACATGTTGCGTTCAAGAATCTGAAAATTGTAATTAATTACGTGATTTGACATGTTTTAACTGGAAAATAGAAATTTTAGGAAATCAATCATTTTTTTGTCGAAAGTGATGAAAGTTGATGCTAAGCATTACAATTTTCGAAAGGCATGGAAGATAATTTAAATATTCATCGTGTAAGATAAGATCTAGAAGATCTAAACTTTCCAACTCTGTTATCAAAGATCAAGAGATTCGAATATTTACCGAGTAATCCTGTACTTCTTTGGCAATATCCAGAGTAAAATTCCGTTACACTGCAAAAACATCAATAATACTCACCTTAATTCTGTTAGAAAGTCTAAGAAAGACAGACTCTTTCTGCTGCGGAGTCGCAGCACTGGCTGTTTGCTGAGTCACCGAAGCATCATTTTTGCCTGCTCCATTACCTTGCAGACTATCGACATCAAAATCAAAACCGTCAAAATTCAATTGATCATGTGGTACAGCTTTTACATCTTGCTCAACAGGCTCCGTCTTTGTTTTCATTTCCGCTTCTTTTACTTCGCTTTTCGCTTCCACTTCATTTACTACATTCTTATCACCTACTTTCTGTATATTATCAACGTTTTGCGTAGAAGCCTTCGATGGTTTCGGGACTTCTCGCGATGTTAATTTTTCTTGAGGCACTGCTGGTGATTGGACGTGATCCTGCGATCGACCATTGGTCTTTTGTGATGTAGAACCTGTTCGCTTGGTATCGTTGGGTACTGGAGTAAATGAGGTTTCCGATGTGACATCGTCCGATGAATGACTTTTACTCGACTCGAGATTTATTACGACGTTTCGTTTCTTTGTGTCGTCAACATTCAGCGATGTAGTTTTGGTCGGTTTGATCTGTGCGGGGAAAGAGGACTAATTTTATTATTAATTTTTGTATTGAAAAAAATTAAAAATAATTCTAATAATAATAATAATCCATATCTGAACTACCTCTAGATTTTGATAAAAAAAAACTTATTTGCGAGCTATCTATTATGTAATCAAGAGAAATGCTGAATAATCTTATTATTATATTTAATGATTCATTAATCATTGACGTGATAAATAAAAAACTACCACTTCCGATACCGTAAATCAATTGGATTAAAAAAAATACATTCTCATTGTGTTACTCTGATTTATAAATGCGATGAATCGTATTGTGTCTTACCTGTACAATCAAGCTCTCGCTCACAGATTCCGTAGCACTATCTAACTTGGACTTGATGATAGGTATCTCAGCTTTCGCCCTGTGAGTATCAGCAATAGGAACTTCAGCATGTCTCGTCGACGTAACCTTCTCATCTTTCGTTCGCAATGGCACTTGAATATCTTTCTCAGTATCATTTGGTGCTTTGTCATTAGACTGCTGTTGTTGCTCCTGATGACTTGTATTGGCAAATAGTCGTTGCTCTCGAGCAGCTAATACGTTACATAATGCAATTATGTAGTCGGGAGTAAAGAATGACGAGAGAAATTGCGCTTGAAGATAGTACTTGGATACTTCGCTTAGTCGCGTTTCTAATGCTGTAAGAAAAATCGATGTGTAATAAGTGTTCTTTGCGACAATATATGATAATGTTAGGAGATCGATATGGATATTCTATATTGACAGACTGACCAATTTAGCAAATTGATTATTGACGAAGTCTGTTTATATTCAATTTATTGACGTTTTATCTTTTCTATACTCAAACGTTGTTACTTGAAATTTAAGCAAAAAAATACATTTACCTTTATTACTATCCATACAAGTTTCGTCGTCGAATCTAAAATCGAAACCCGAACTACTACTGCAAAGGTGACTCTTATCCAGCGTCTCTAGTACGAAATCTGTATTCAGCAGCGACTCCAAATAATGTCTTTTGCAACTAATCAATTGAAATACCCTGGCGAATCTATCATCGTCGCAATCGTGACAAGCGACGTTGTAAATTGGCGTAGTACAGTCATCGAGCGTCTCATCTTCGAGAACATCGCCTCGAATGTTTTCTTGAATCTTGGTAATGTTGTTAGTTGGCTTGAGATCCTCACTTTTGACCAGTACCGAAGTGGCTTTTTTAACTATACTCAATACGGCGTCTCGAGCACTGCCGAATATGTGACTTGGTTGATCGATATTGTTTTCGTCCTCGTCGACGAACATTGGCTCATCATCGTCATCTTCGCTTGCTATATTGCTGCCTGTAGCATCAATTGCTGTAAAGTAATCGGAGAGTACATTCGTAAAAAAATAAATTCTATCATATGATCAAAAACATGAAAAATTTGAAGAGCCCAAGTATGACGCAGATATTTTAAGAAAACATGCTGTCAGTATATTTAAGTAACATTACGTATGAACGATATCGCATGGCTAAGTAAGTTTAATATAATAATTTCAAACGTCAAGAAATATCTAGCCCGTTTCCTTTGACCGCATTGATAAAAACTCTCACCGTGACGACGTGCACGCTCTTATCATTATGGTACGATGCTTAAGAACATATATATATATATATATATATACAAAAAGTTCAATATAAAAGTTGACGAGCTGTCTTAATTACGATCAGCGTCATAAATCATTATCATACTATAAATATAACATGTAGATGGAAGTTACTATTATTGCGTCAGCCAAAACACGTTGTCTATTGTAGATGACGTTGGACTTATTAATTAATCGTGTATCAATTTATATATCACGAGACAATGGCATGGCTGCCAAACAATTAAGCTCTCACCTTCAGGGTTAATCTCGCTCCTGTTCTCGTCGACATGTTCGGTTTCCGTCTCCAACACCTCGAATTCGCTAGTACCATAAACACGAAATAACGAGATTGGACAGAAATGCTCGGAACCGTAGTGTGACAATAGCTCGATCTTGATGAATTTGCCAAAGAGGTGGGGTTGTAAGTTGAAGCTCTGTACGTCGCGTTCGTCTCGGGCTGTAAAGTGACCGACGTTCGACCATTCTCTCGTTGGAAAGCGATCACTTACGTAGACTGCAATATCCTTTGGAGACGAGCTGAATAATTCAAAGTTTGCTGTTGGAGAGAATTCAAATGTTAGAATGTTTGAAAGTCATGGTCAATGTCAATTGAAAAAGATTTTTTTCCACTCGCTGGCCTATTAATGCTAACGAACGATACTACGATACTATTATCAGAACGTGAAAACCATTAGATCTCCGCAGTAATTACTGAAACGTCTAACTCTTTTCGTTCCATCAAAAACATTTAGTCAATTTTAGGTTCAATTTAAAAAAAAATGATAATTTATCATGATTTAAAAAAAATGATTTTAAATAAGTCATAATAAATTATCGGTTTTTTATATTATTACATTGCTTTAAAAAATAACTAAGATAAAGCTGATATAGTTGAACTAAATTTTGAAGAATTCTACAAGACTGAGTCTAACTGCTTTTTTGCAATTGGCATTTTACAGGAAATCACGTCAAATATTTGCATTCGAACGGGTATTTACGGGTATTTATTCCATCCGACGCCTGTTACATAAGAATCACATTACCACAAAAATTGTTTAGTCTAGACGCTCGCAGCAGTAATGAAACAATAAACCAAAACCGCCTTCCCCCATTATCTAACTCTTTTTTTTTGCGCGATCCTCTGTTTCAGCTTTTGAAAACTTGAACGATCGAGAGCACATACCAAGCTCGATCTTCTTAGCTTGTATGGCCTCGCAGAGTTCAACGACGAACCACACGCGACTGGTGCATGCGTTCAGCATGTACTCATCCCTCGTGGACACCAAGATATTTCTAACGCCACTTGATTCGGGATTGGCCCCGACGACCTTGGCACCGCAATCCGGCGAGGCGTAATTCTTCGAACGCATCCGCATGCTGCCGAGGCCGCGACCTGGTGAACCGCTGGCCGTTTGTACTGAGGCGTTCGGGTGTGCTGTAAATCAATTGCAATGTGTTTTATCGTTCTTTTAGAATCGATTGTCGTGGGCTTGGAGTACCTCGCGAAAGTTATTTTTGGACGAGTAGTGTGTCGCGACGAATGGAGAGGGGACGTGATATTTATTTCTGTGTTTGGATATTCTTGTTTGATATTGAGAAATTCATATTTTCACTGAACATATTGCGTTGCTATGTCAGAATTTGCTACGCGTTTTACACGACGAAACTTAGCTCTCGGATAAAACTTTCTCCAAACACTTTTTTCCACCACTTTATTTACTTTCGCATAAATAATCTTTGAACTAATTCAGCCGTATATCGCAACTTTCAAATCTTTATAATGCAGAAACAAATTGCGTACGTTATCGTAAAAATTGTCAATTAACCGAAGCGCAGCTCGTTAAAGTCGCATAAAAATAATATAAAAAAAGAAGCCGTAAAGAAAGATAAAAATAAAAGCACAAAGAAAGAACTTCGTTAAAACAGCGCGTTTTTAAAGGTTTCTGTTTTCGCCGCGATAAGCCGCCTCCTACGAGCGAAACGAAAAAGAGCGCGTGGCGTTTTTGCGAGCAAACGACGCGTTTAAACTCACTTTTTTTCTTTTCCGCCTCCTCCAGCCGCTTCTGCGCCCATTCATTAAAGCTCGGTATTTCCTCGTGCGGCTCGGTCGGTCCAGCTGTGACCAATCCGTCGAGTATGGCAGCAGCGCTCCCGTCGTCATTCGTCAACCTGGCTCTCGCCGCGCTGTCGTTTAAGTCTGGCGCAGTTGTCGGCACCTGCGCGCTGCCGCTGTTTTCCTCCAGCAGCTGCTGTACATTCGCACAACGACTGTTTTAGTGTCGCGGCGCCAGATTCTTACACAAGGCCTGCATCCTAGACCAAAAGTACGCGGCGCCCTATGCTCGTTCACCGTGCGACACGCGCCATACCTGCTCTTTCGTTCGAAAGCTCAAGCCGTTCGCGGGAAAGTCATCGTGCGATTCACCGGGGCAACATTCCGTTCTTTCTCACCTGACGTTCGAGCGTGACACTGCTCTCCGCGACATCGTCGTCGATCGAGAACGACTTCTGCTCGGCCCTGACGACCACGACGCTGTCGTCGTTGAGCAATGCCGCGTCATCGCTCGTGGTATTCGCATCGAGGAGCTGCTGCTGCGATAGACGCGAGCGGCTTTCGGAGGCGTTGCCCTCGGCTTGCTGCTGCTGCTTTGGCCGGAAGTCCGCGCGATCCGCTGCTATGTCTTGCAAAGCCGTTGCTGTGTCGACGAGGGTCACCACGACTGCTTGACCCCCCTCGGAGATTCTGCAAATGGACATGTAATGGTTAGATGGCGAGAGCAATTTTCGCGAGTTACGTTGTCGTAAAAACAATAATTGTTCAACCTGGCGGCTCGTTATCGTGTCGTGAAACGAGTACCCGCTGTGTATTGTAATTTTTGTAACTTGAATCCAGAGTGTAATTTAACGACGTCAAAGCTTGGAAAATATAACGTCTTCGTGAAATGCAAAAAAAAGTTCTTCGACTTGTTTCATACTTACAAATAAAGTTTATGAAATTGGAAAAAATAAAATCTTTCTCGATTCAAGAAAAGTTGATTTAAACGTGCAGACACGATAATGATAAAAGAAATAAAGCATTCAATATTTTATTTTATGTCTATTCTCGTCAAAGCACGCGTATTTCGATTTCTCTATTACAAAAAGAAAAGGTAACATTGTTGCGAGCGCATCAAAAGCATCCCGCTGGAACAGTATCGGATATGCACACGCTTGCAAGAGAGCGAATTGGCCAGTCGAATGACGCCAAAAAAACGTGTTTACCAGTTGACGTAACTCAAAGCGAGTTGACGACAACAAATGATTTCCGAAGAGAGAGCGAATTGCGTAACCGTAGTGGTCGATATTTGACCCCCCCCCCCCCTCCGTGCGTTTATTAATAAACTTGATAAATTGATGGCTATGTAAGTGTTAGGTTAATACTCCGCACCGCAACGAGAACTGCGTAATAATGTCAAGGCCGTGATTAACGCGACGGAGGAAATAAACGTAAAAGAGGAAAACGTTCGAGAGAAAAGGTGTAGGGTAGATTGGAGCGTTTGAGTATATAATGCCACGGAGCTTGACCCGTGGACTGGAAAACCGGTGTAGTTCAATCGAACGACGACGAGAAAGTATATAAAGAAACGAACTTCAATGTGGACAAACCTACGCTTATACGATCAAAGCAATAGCGTATACCGATTATTCAGAAGACTCACCGTCAGGGAGGGGGGAGGGGGTTCAAAACTCGGTAGATTTCAAGCAAGACAGGCGCAATTAAACGTGCAAGCAGCGGCGGCATATAAGATCTACGAGTTTCAATTAGATAAATGTGGGTGGGATGCCGTAACATTCCTTTTGCTCCAATTCGAGTATTTCTCTCTCGTTGTGTCTTACTAAGGCTGTATCATCTTTTCTTACCGATTTCCTATTTTTCAATTGCACATTTTACTAATTCGACGAACATTTACAGGGAATCATTGCTCCGCCAAATGAAAGACGCCAATAATCTCATTTGTGCGACTATGCGGTGGAGGAGGCTCGCGACTATGCGCCGCAATCGCGGGGCATTAAGAAGGTCTTGACAAACAATTTAGCCACTCGGTGCGTAGCTAAGACGCTGCGTGTCTATGTGTTATTTTGCTTGTGGTGCTTGATCGCGTGAGTGAATTACGGTATTATTTTCCAGGCGGAAGCGAAAATAACGTCAAGTAGTATAAGAAATTCGCCAATGACTGCAATGACTGATAATCCATAATATTACGCGTTGATATTCATAATAAAAAATAGTTGGTTACTGTATTTCTCTAGTTTCAAAACAGAAACGAACATAAAGTGCATCTTTTCAATAAAACAATGCATAAAAGTCATCGTAACTAGCTGCAAAACCACTGAAAGCATAATCGAAACGCGACATTTTCCGTTACTGAAATGTAAGAATGGTTATATCACACATCTGATGAAGATTCAAGATACCCGCAGTACAATAATCACTGAAGCGGAATTACGGCCTTCGATAGTGCAAACGTATTTTTTTATTGGCGGCAATAACGAATAAAAGATCGATGTACGTAGATAAAGGATGATGAATATACAGCATAGTGTTTATGCGCGCGCAATATCCTTTAAAAGTTTCACTCTCGGAATAATGTTCAATTAAATAACTTTTACATACACCTTAAGCGTTGGCGTGTTTTTTACTTTGCAAACTTACAATCACATCGTACCGAACATCTTAATAAATTTACCGATAAAAATTTAATAGAACGACTTTGCTCTTCAAATTCGAATCAGCGACATCTTCGCTGATTTTAGTCGTAATGGAAAATTCAAATGCATTTGGCAATCACGACAATTAAAAGCGTTTAAAAATTATCGCTTTCATAATCGACAATAGCTGCAATTGAAAATGCTAAAAAAACGAGCTTATTCATCTTTCGGGATCATTGCCACGCCTCTGCATGTCAAGTGCCTTGTAACATATACCTTCAATGAACATGACATCAACCTGCTTGAAAGCAATGTTCAAAATTTTCCTACTTACCGGCGTTTCCCATACACAAGCCCAAGACACTGGAAACAGGAAATGAATATGAAAGAGGAAGAGCAAGAAAAAGGTGAAGCAGAAGGCTTGAAAACTAAACTAAAACAAGGCGTTTGGGTCGCCGCGTCCACACGGGAATTAGGTGTCCCCCGGGTGTATTATGAATTATGACAATTGCGAATCAAATGAAGCACTTAAGCTCTTGCAGGTCGGTGAGTGGAAGGGAGAGCAAGAGCGAAGCCTCATTTACCAGCGACGGCGTTTTAGGTACACATCAAGAAGATCAACTCAGTTGTGTGTCGTGCTGCACCTCGCACTGAAGAAATTTCATGACCGAGAAGATGGCCGAAGAAGGTGGTGCTTCTACTGCTGCTGAATCCAGTGGGATTATCAAGTTTAAGGATAATTTTGTGAAGATCACTAAGAATCATAAGAAAACCATTTTCCTCGTTTCGAAGGGACTTGAACTGGTCAGTAATTGGGTGTAGCTTGCAAGCTTTCGGGCAGGCGTATTCGCTCTACTTTTGTCTACTTCCATTAATCTCTGCTTTTCTTTGCTATTTTGGAATTTTATCATATGTTTTTAACTGGAATTGATATTTTTACCTACAGTTTTGATAGAAAATTACTTCATTGCGTATAATTACAATTTTTTTAATATTGCAATGGAAGGGAAATTAATTTGAAACGATCGTTAAAATAACTTCGCAAGGTAAAAAATGTATTCTCGTTGGATTAGAAATACATGTCCAAGCCTCTTAATTAAATAATTATGAGATACTTGAAAGAAAAAAGCTCAAAAGTCACATCATAATCTATCACGCACATCACATTGTACGAAGAAAAGCAATTTGCATGATATCAAGCTGACTATTTGCAGACGTGGAAACTGTATTCTATCAGACATAAAATGAAAGTATCCTTAACACGCTTGACTTCGCGAGATTTAACAATGATATAATGAGTCAATGATCGTCATCCCAGTATTTTATCATCTTTATGCAGCTTGTTTGCATTCGAATAAATTTGAAATTTTGAATATTACAATATTGCAATCATGCAAAACGTATAATTACGAGTCTCAATATTATTAAAAGCAAAGTGATAAATTAAATTCTAAAGGTAAATTATTTTTGCAGTTTCTCATCTTCGTAGCAGCGACAATAGAGGGTTACAAATCATTTTTCGGCCATAATTCACAATCAAGTGAACTTCCTCAATACAAAAATATTGGACAGTATAATACGAATGATACTAATTTCCGTATCGTCTGCACTGCATTCGACGGATTTCTAATTTTCAACTTGATCTTACTCGTATCATACTTAATGGGTGAACAACTCCCGAAAAAACTAGTAAGAAAATTTATTTTTACGTATAAAAACTTGATATCGCCATCGTGATTGTTCTTTAACAATTTCAGTTATGTAAATATTTCAAACGAGTATGCCCGCGAAACTTTCAACGTCATGAGTCTGAATTTTATTTCGTGAGAATCCGAAGTTTCGCGAATTTATCGAAATACAATTTTTAATGCTAAAGGTCACTCGAACCGGTAACGATTTTACCATCACTTTTAATCTTGGCATTCCAGCCTTCGCCATGTGATGTTCAGCGATCCATAGTCACATATATATTATTCAAAATTACATAACCATAAATTTATAAAGTACAACACCATTAAAGTTTGTCGTCTGAAAAATTTCTTTTAGCACGTATGGCAACAAACACATGCAAAAACCAAATGTTCACGAGCGCGCGAATCTCTCGTAGGTGCATGACCCCGTAGCACAACTCTATTTTCGTGGCAATCGCATTCCGTTACTCGTCTTCTCATCTCACCATCTTTCTTTTCTTTCAGCTGTGTATTTTTTCATTTCTCGGGGCAATATTCTCCCTGGCTGCCGGAATAATACTAATCGAGGATATTGGCGATAGCAATAGAGTTGGTTTCCGCAACGGTTCTACCGAATTGATCGTCAGTGGTGCTTTCTCCGTCTTCGCTGCGCTGACATTTGCCATGGAATGCATCATCACTTACATCTATTCTCAATAACTGTATATTTCGCTCATTTACGACTTGCTCATTATTTGTAAGCCTCGAAAGTGTTTACGCGGGTGTTTATCATGCTTTCTTTGTGTGTCGAAATCGGATTTGGTGAACGTTATTGTGTTCATTTTCACGCAAATCGAGTATTTTGTAAGCGATTAAAAATTTCATATAATTTTGTACTATATCCACCTGTGTAGATATAATTATCGAATACACGCGACGACAGTATTTGTACTGTCCCCATCCCCACCCCGCTACATATGAGAATTTGTTTTTCCTCTCATCGTTACTTTTTCTGGTTATACAATATCGAAGTTGAATACGCACGACGTTGCGCAATTTCACCAGTGCGCCGAGTGAAAGAAAACCAATGTCGAAGCTAGCTCAAGCGGAATATGTCACCAGTGTTCACATTTTTTTTACAACTCTTCTCTAAATGGAAAAGATTGTCACACGATAATAATTTTTGCAAAGGTGATTTCGTAAAAATGAATTTACAATTTGTGAATTTTGAGATAACATTGAAAAAAAGCGATTGTCAAACAGTCTATTTAGATACATGCGTGTGAACTTGATTACAAAGAAAATAAAAATTTGACCTGATTTCATTCAAGGGGAAAGTCTATCTTAATCAAACATGGTAGTCGATGATCAAGGATGGTAAGACCGGTGCGTGCTGTGTTTCTTATATAAAAGAAAACCAACGTACAAACTGCATTCATCATTTATTTTCTATGGAAAGCTCGGTTTCATCGATATTTAAAAGAAAAAACGTGAGTTGATAATTAACTCGTTAAAATATTCGATTTGCAAGAGCTAAGGGGGATTTACGTTAGCACGTGGAAACGCTTAGCGGTGAAACCTTATAGTATTTGACTGGATATAAGTTGAATGAAAAGGCGGCATCGACGAATTTCATAATTTTGTAATGGCATTTGTAAGATTTTCGTTTTTAATTAATTTCTACAAAAGATTTTTAAATTGAATTCGAAATGTATTATACAGAGCGAAAGTTCAAACGATCATATTCGGTCTATTTTAAACTAGCAACGATAAAAAAAAAGAGTTAAAGCCCTGACGTTAATATTTTTAGGAGTAGAAGCGTTAATATAACAAGTACATTTAAATTTAGATCAGCAACTGCAAAAAAAATTTCACAAGTCCCGCATATCATTGCACTGACGCACTCTTGATGTGGAATATCCGGCGATAAAGAAAGAAGTACAATTCTACGGTAACAGAGACTCTATCAGTTTCCCAAGGTCTCTATGTAGAGGAGGCCCAGGCAAGACGGACACCTCAAGGAATAATAAAACAATCAGGTTCTAAATAACAAAATATCCATCAAATTATATGTGTAATGCAAAATTGGCACGAAAACCAACATGTCTAGATAGATATAACTCTGAAAAATTATTTTAACTAGTACAATAGATCAATAAAAAATGTCATGGAATTTTGAGTGTTCTAGAAATCGTCGAGAAAGGCGGACACCCTACGGAAAAATGTTCTAAATGCCAATAAAAAAATTCTATTTCATTTCTAGCAAAGTAAATATACAAATTATCAAATAAGATGTAATTATTACATTAACAAATATTTGATCAGAGAAAAAAGATTTTTTTTTAATTAAATCCTGAAATTTAAAAAAAATTACCGAAAAAAATTGATATCTTGCAAGAAACCAATAAAATCATTTTGAACAATAAAGCTGAAAAACAAATTATATTTTGATATTATATTGTACATAAAACTTGAAAATTAAAGAAAAATGAACATTTAAAAAAAATTAATTTTAGGGATGTCCGTCTTACCCGGTATGTAAAAAAATTAATTTTTTAACGCAGCAAGGGCTACAAAAAATTAACCACTAGTTTAGATAATAGATTAGTTAACTACTAATTCAGTAGCCGTATACTATTTTCAAAATATTTCAAATATTAGACCGTAGAAAGTCGTAAGCCCGCCGACAAAAACAAAGGTTGATGTACGCTCGCTGTCATCGATGTGAGTGCCGCACTCAAACGGAATGCGTATGTTTACATCATAGAGAATATACTACTTTTCATAATATTCGCTATAACCCATCCCTATAAACATCGGGGTATCCGTCTTGCCTGCGGTATTCATTTTGCTCGGGACTCTCCTAACCATAAGTTATCCAGACGGAAAAGGCTCAAAAATCGATCAGGTGAAATATACGGCTTCGTTCACGACCTAGACACGACCAGAAACGAACTAAAGGGTTTCCGCATCAATGAGACTAATCAGTTGACCGCTGCGTGTGACGTCAAGTATAGCGTGCCAAAGTGATAATCGAAGCGTCAACAATGCGCACTTCACGCGAGACATGTATTGCTTTAAACTTTCATATATTATTTGTTACTTACTCCTGGGAAAGATTTGGTTGCTGGATTAAACTCTCCTTCAGGATCTCTATCTCTTCAGGTACTTTAAATTCATCGCTCTTGTCAATACCATTAAAGCTTGCTGAGAATGCTGATTCAAAGTCCTGCAATACACAGTGAAAAACAGACTTTATTAACTCGCTTGCTCCATTTCAAATGCTAAATATATGAAAAGATTTTACATACTTGCTCTTTCAATTTGGGCTTTAAAGATGAAGGAATTTTAAGTCTAGGCATAGAGCCCAGTCCAAACTGTTCTAGAGGATCGTGATTGACACTTGAATTTCCATCTTGCATGACAGACTGATGTCTATCCGGGCCGATGAATTTGTTCTGAGGGTTTTCTGAGGCAACCAGCAGAAATAGTAGTGTACTGAAACAAGCCAAACAATGTTTGATATTCATAGTCTATGTTTATCTCTATTTAGTATAAATGTACTGTATTTTAGATAATGATTGATAAAATGATTATAATGAAAGGAGAAAAAATTACTCAGTAATATTGAAAATAATGATGCTTTTAAATAAACTAATTCACAAGCACACAAAAATTCACACACATACTATGATTTGATACATATTAATTCAGTTGCAATTGACATGCATGAAGATATATTATAACAGTCTTGAAAAAGCAACTGTTTATTGACTTAAATGAGTATTATATTCAGAGCTTAGACCGATATATCAACCGACAAATCAAAATAAAATTTTCTCGTGACAGAATCAATGCGCGGGCACAAATTTCCAAGCTTAACACTTGATAACAGAAAGTAAATTAAAGCTCGTCGACATAGTGTGTATATGTATGTAAGGAGTAAGAGTTATGATAGTATGCAAGCACATAGCCAAGAAAAAAGAGTATTTCTATCTGACGCAATATAACATGATCGAAAGGACGGACAAGCATGAATTAACTGTAAAAGAGAAAATTACCTTGATAAAACAGAGATAAGGAGCAGCATCCAGTAGACGCAAGACAAATAAAGTCTCATGTTGTTGCTTGCCAATTTATCAGCATCATTCTCGACGTGAATCGATCGCGAGCCGCAACTACCACCGCGAACTGCAACCTTCTCCTCGCCGTCAAGCCAATACATGCACTACCAGCCCAGGCACACTACTGACGTGGGATGTGGACGCACGCGCGATTCTCGACAACTGCAGTTAGTCACCACAGCCCACGAGCTACATCAAGATCAGCAGCAACCGTCTATAATAACCGCCAATATACATGTGCGCGCGCACTAGGTGGCGCTTAACCATTTACTTTGTGCCAATAAATTCAGTGGAATGCGCGCAAATAAGTGGGGGACATGAAAACGTCGTCATATCGCTAGTCGGCGCGAATCTATTTCTGAGTTTTGGAGTTTTGGAGTATATAAGGATTATGTGGAACAATGTCGTTGCGACACGATATCTTCCGTCACACTATAGTTGTTTGATCAAGTAATCAGCTGATGTTGACTGTATGTATGACATGGCGTGACAATGGATTGGGATTTCACTTTTACCCCGCACGTACTTTCATGAAAAATTGTATGGAAAAAATGTCGTGATAAAATTAATTGTTTTTGTTTATAAAATATTTAATGATGTCAAAATTATGCTAAAGTTATTGAGTCATTTTCATTCTAAGAAAAACCAAATAATACGGTATCTTATGAATTAACGTATTTTCAATTCTCTCTCTAATATAAGTCCCATAGCTTTTAATCTTACAAGTCATCATAGTGTAATTGACACAACAAAAAATAACACATTTAATTATAAATTGTAATTATTCAGCAATTTTTCAATTAATAAAACATCGTAATAAAGGAAAGTGTCAGAAGAACATTAGTGTATCTCAAGTGTTTCGACATAAAACTAATATTTTCGTTAAATAATTTTTATTATCGCGGTTAAAGCTACATTTACATTCTACAGTAAACGATGATGTGATTATTTACATTAGTATAAAGCATTATTAAAAAATTCCTTACTATATAATCATATATATCACAATTTTCATCTTGAATATAATATATATAAATAATTTTATTCCCGCAATCTGGCTATCGCGATCTGGCGCCACTGTTCTTCATCGTTGTTACTTTGTCAGTCGAAGTTCTTTTTCCTGTCTGCCATCATGGTGAGAAAGTTTCTCTATTCCAGCATTTAATGATTTTATTTATTTTTCAATACTAAATATTAATCGAATGCATACGATCTACCATTTCAAAAAAATATATTTTTTGCGTCATTCTTACTTGATTTTCATTCTGAATGAGTATGTTTAATTTTTAGAAATTATTTTATTGTTGATCCTAACCTTTTTCAAAATCAGCCGCGACACCTAGAAACGCTTATTATTTGATTCTAAATTTTATTTTAATTATAATTGGCCTATTTAATAATTATTAAATTGAGTTTTATCAACATGGTATGTCAATATTGGCAATCTATATTCATTAGGGTGACGTTTTTAGGCGATTCTATGCTTATTTATATGAATATTTTATTTGTATGGTTGATAAAAAAAGGTGTAAAAATAATATGTTGAAAAAACTAAGATATTTACTACATATTCAATTAGTGTGTTTTTGGTTAAAAAAATGAATAATTTTGAATTAATCTTATATTCTCAATCTAAATGATCCTTAATTCTCGATAGGAATTACAGACTGACATATAACTGAAGTCAACAGATTATCTGAAGTTACCAATAGTTAAACTATTGATTTCATGTATTGGTTAATAATCTTTCTGCTAAAATAGATCCTAATTATTATTTTGTTTGTGTTCTAGCCTTTTGAAAGGTTCGTTGAGACAGGGCGAGTTGCTTATGTCAGCAATGGTCCACACCAGGGTAAACTGGTTACCATTGTTGACATCATTGATCAAAACAAAGTAAGTAATCTAGTCAATAATGAATTTGTTGTCTTTATATTTTGTAGTTGAGTGTACATTTTATTTTGTATAAACGATATATTAATCAAGACATTCTATTTGTAATTGATCCAAAATAAATCCTAAATTTTTAATTCAAATTACATTTTTCTCAATGATGAACCATCATTCTTGATAGGAATTGCCGGCTGATTCATAACTGAAGCCAATTTTTTGTCTGAAATTATAACACATTTTAATCATTAGAAATATTTGCTTTTTTGGAAAAATATTACCTTTATTAAAAATTATAGGTTTTGGTTGATGGTCCTACATCCAACATCCCACGTGACCAAATGAGGTTAAGTGATCTACACCTTACAAAGTTCCGCATCAAGTTTCCATTCACCGCAAATAGTACTATTGTCAAGAAGGCTTGGGATGAGGCGGACATTGATGGAAAATGGCAACAAAGTATGTGGGCAAGGAAAGTTGAAGCAAAGAAGAAGGTAAAACTAATACATAATAATACATATCTCGTAAATAATTGATAGAATTTAGTTTTAGTTTACTTATAGTATGTTATTGTTTCATGTAATATCTATTATATCAAAGTAAAAGTTCAATATGTAATAATTTATCTAGGACTTATAAGTAAAACTTTATTTTTCAGCGTGCGGAACTTAGTGACTTTGACAGATTCAAGCTTCGCAGGGCTAAGCGTACACGTAATGTTTTAAGAACTAGTGCTTTCTTCAGAATAAAAAAGAAGGAAAAGAAACCGAAGGGTTCAAAATCGAGTTAGCCCACCAAACCTTAAAAGAAATGGTTATTTTTAATTTTCAAGAATAAAACTTTTAAAACATAAAGCATTTTGCATTTTTAATTTATTTGATTTATTTACCCTAATGTTTAATTTATAGTAAATTTTGTAAATCGTAACTTATTATTGTTGCATAATTTTGTTATATGATTATATCTTATTTGTTATATATTGTTCTATAATTTGAAGCTTCACTTGACCCAATAAATATTAAAACTTTTCTATAGACTGATTACATTGAATTAACAATTAAACAAAAAATACTTTAAAGTTTTTACATTAGAATTTTTGTTAACAAGAAATTATATTCTAGTTTTTAATATAAAATAGATCATCAATTTCACTTAAATGGTTTTTATAACAGATAAAACGTAATTATGTGTAACTTGCTGCAATTAGAATATATTTGTTTAATAATATTTCAATCGATGAAAACACGAAACAAATCAAAATTATTTTTATTTCTTATATTTTCGCGCTAAATATATATTACTCACGGCCATCTTGTATACAATAAGATATACAGACAAACGGTCTGCAATTACATGTCACTGCACTTCCAGAGCCGGCTTATTATAGCCATTTGTCTACTTATCTTAAACAAAAGTTATATTTTTAGCGATTTGTAAATATTAGAAATTAGTAAAATGAATTTTCTTTATCGTCTTCCATTTTACATACTGGAGGTTCCTAATCTTAAATTGAAAAGACCATCATGGTTTGTCCAGCCCAGTGCAATGGTTGTTTTTTCAATGGTACTGCTTTCCTATTTCTTAATGACTGGTGGTAAGCATATTTGTATATTATTCTAATAAAAGTTTTTTGTATATTCTGTAATTTTTCTCCTTGCAGGTATCATATATGACGTTATTTTAGAGCCTCCAAGTGTTGGTTCAACTACTGATGAGCATGGACACAGTCGCCCAGTCAGTATATTAATTTCAGTTTTAAAAGATAGCATTGAAAAATAATTTATCAATTATCATTTACTATTATAGGTAGCTTTCATGCCTTACAGAGTTAATGGGCAATATATTATGGAAGGATTAGCATCAAGTTTTCTTTTCACCTTGGGAGGCCTGGGATTTATAATTCTTGATAAAACACATAACCCAACCATGTCAAAACTTACTAGGATATTATTGATTAGTGTGGGATTCATCAGTATTTTTATATCATTTGGTGCATGCTGGATTTTTATGCGCATGAAATTGCCGTAAGTACTTAAGGAAGCTTTACCATTGATTTTTATAAAATTACTTAAATTACATGAATATTAATATTTTCAGAGGATACTTACAAATGTAAAGTTAATCCATCAATGTTTTCTGAACATTGAAAGAAATATCAAAAATAAAAATAAAATGTTAATAAACTGTCTCATATCTACAATCTTAAATTTTTATATATTTTAATAAAAACTATTTTATACATTTCCATTTTTTTAATATCACATATCTCTTAAAATAAATTATCCAAAAAAAATGTATTTTTAATATTTTAATATTTTTACATATTAGTTTACAGTTTATATACAAATGTGAATATACAGAAAACACAATTGAATAATCATAGAAATATATAAAAACATATTTGATATAGTGTCAATAAGATGGATTTATAATAAATATTATAATATATTGAAATTGAATATTTTTATATTCAAACGTTTCATGTAATACTTTGAAATATTATTTACTGTTGAGTCTGAAGAATTATAATTTTTAAAATGTGAGACAATATTTCTCTCATGTTTTCTTGCAGTATAAACAACATAATATCAGTCTTTCAAATCAGCTGTAGTTGAATAATTTAGAAGTCTATTCTAAAAATCCTGCAATAAATCAATATAATTCCTGATATGATCAAAACATAATTAATAAGTTATACTACACAGACTGAGAAAAGTTACTGCTTTTTTCAATAATATGTTCAAACTCAGCAAAACTCAAGACTCTATTGTCATCTAGGGCAGCTTCTTCCAGAAAATACTGAATCAACTGTTGTATGTCACCTTCATTTAATGTTTTGTTTCCTGTCAATCTATTTGCAACTTGAAGCAGATCACCATTTCCCAATATGTCATCTCTATCAAAATCTGTTTATATAACATATATTATTGATTAAGGATTTATTTTGAATCTAAATATAACAATTGTATTTATATGCTTATGAAATATTCTGAAGCATGTTCGGCTTTCACACCATCGCTCAACGCAGACGTCATGTTTAAAAAGTCTTCAAAAGTACAATCACCGGTTTGACTTGAACTGAATACTTTACGATTTCTATTTCTTCAAATTAAAGTGTCTAAAGTGTTTCGACATAAAATTAATATTTTCGTTAAATAATTTTTATTACCGAGGCCAAAGCTACATTTACATTCTATGGTAAACGATGATGTGATTATTTGCAATCACATTAATATAAAGAATTATTAAAAAATTCCATACTATAAGATGATAATACAGTTTTTACTTTCAAATTTAATTCAATTTTCCAATTCAATTTACAATTCAATTCCCGAAATCCGGCCATAGTGATCTGGACCCTTGCGAAGACAGCCCGACAAACATGTAATGTAAAAAAAGAAAATCATCATATCTTATTTATTTTTAATTGTACATGATAGAAAACTAGTTATTTTTAATTGTACCATTTTAATTTTGCCAAAAATTAGCAACAAAGGGTATTGAATATTTGCCTTCAATATATTGCCTTTGGAAGGAAAATATTTAAAAAATGAAATGGCAGAAAAATTGTACCTTCTGTAAATTAAATTGTACCATCCGTAAAATAGCATCAATTTACTTAGAAAATAAATAATATGAAAACAACCAATTGACTGCATGCGCACAGTGTACTTCCGGATACGTTACTCATAATAAATGTCAATTGGTTGTTTTCATATTATTTATTTTCTAAGTAAATTTATGCTATTTTACGGATGGTACAATTTAATTTACAGAAGGTACAATTTTTCTGCCATTTCATTTTTTAAATATTTTCCTTCCAAAGGCAATATATTGAAGGCAAATATTCAATACCCTTTGTTGCTAATTTTTGGCAAAATTAAAATGGTACAATTAAAAATAACTAGTTTTTTATCATGTACAATTAAAAATAAATAAGATATGATGATTTTCTTTTTTTACATTATATGTTTGTCGGGCTGTCTTCGCGAGGGTGTGATCTGGCGCCATTGTTCTTCATCATTGTCGATCAGTGCAAACATTGCAAAGCAAACAAAGGATTCCCGCCAGATGACACGGCTGTTTGTTTTATTTTGTATGCGATTTTGGCACCACTCGTCGAGCGTCACTCAAGCTCGAGCTCTCGAGTCTCGACCTGCGAACACCATGATTTGATGGTTAATATGGTCATCAGCTAGGTATAAAAAATTTTTGAACACACATATATACATATATGTATATTATTCTGACGAAAAAGTTGACAAAATAGACATCATTTATTGTTATCATTGGCAACAACAATGCAATATCATCGTTGAATGGTTTGAAACACGATCTTGGTTTACTTAACTGAGTTTTTGTGGTAAGAATAAAGATTGCAGCATGCATCCACCTATCTATACTATGTATATTTATGTCCTATATTTCTCACCAGAAAAGATATATTGACAGACAAGTTACTGTTTATCTTCTAATATATTTTTGCTAACGTGTCATCCGGTAAGATATTAAGACGTTGAATCCAGGCTGCTTGGAAAAGGTAACGAAATCATTCATTCTCATCAAATCTGTTGGATTTCATGTTTTAATGAGTCATACATATTTTTCAATATTAGATTTACTACTCATTTTTTGTCAAGATCATGTCAAGGATAGTAATGTTCAGATGATTTAGAGAAACTGAGTGCAGTGTGATAATATCAAAATTAGTGATTTACATTGGAATTTTTTTCTATATTGTCTATAGTAACTACCTAATAGACTACTGCTAAACAACCCTACTGCTGCACATTGTATTGTATAAATTTCATTAGCCCAAAAATTAAAAGGATTTAAAAAATGCCACATCCTAGCATAAACAAAAATGAGTCAACTGACTCTGAATCCAACATGTCTAGTACATTATCTTCAAGAAATAATATTAAATTTTCTGTCAAAAAAATTCTATATGAAAATGAGAATCAAAGAAGAGAAAAGGTAAAAAGAATTGTTGAATTGAAAAGACAAGAAATGGAAAAGAAACAAAAGGATTTACAATCACAGTTATCTAAAATTTTTTATCAAAAAGCTATTCAACGTGAGAAAGAAATTGCTGAGAGACTAGCTAGCTTAGAAATGAAAGAAGAACAGTTAGAACGTCAGCTTGAAATTGATAGAAAAAATGAGGTGCAGAGACAAAGAATCAAAGAAAGTGATGAAATTTCAAAACAAATATTACCATTTCAAGAAATTTTGTATGCCAAGTGGACAGATATCATTAATACTTTAAAGTCTTGCCAAGATAAAAATTCAGCTGCAATGTTATTAAATCAATATAGTTCTAGGTTGAAAGAGTTAAATTTACAGATGGAAACAATCAATGAAAAAGTAAAAAATGGAACTCTAACTCTAGCTGATGTTAAAATGGCAGAAATTATTGCTGGGTACAGTAATGAAATTTGCTTATTATTCAAAGGTGACATAGATGAGATTGATGCTCTTTGTGAACAAGAAATAGAACGAAATGAAAAAAACTTATTAGAAGCAAATTTATCTGCTGAAAGTGACACTCAAAAAATTGAACCAGTACAAGATTTAGAACAGCAAAATATAAATACTGTACATCCAGATGCAAACAATGGTAACATTGATCATGTTTTTGTTCAACAATCACCCGAAACTGTCAGTGAAAGCTTGCCAGATAATTCTATTGCAGTTTCTGAAAACATAGTTGCATCTATACCAGCTGAAGTACCATCTGAACAGAAAGTAGATGAGACACTTAAACAGGCAGAAGATGTATCTTTACAGATTTATTTACAAAGTTGTCAGTTCCTGAGAGATTATAATTTGTTATATCAAGATTTTGCACAATCTATTGCAACGAAAAAATTTAAGTTTGAGTGTCAAAAATCACTGAATCTAGCAGTTAATGCTATATCTCATGCCAGCCGAGAACAATTAGTTGATAAATTTGAAAGATTAAAAGCTTTCTTGTTGGGAAAAGGCACACCAAATATTTCATCAAATCCTCAAGCTCAGTACTACTCAAAGTGCCTTTTAGCACAAAAGATTGTTGAACAAGGAGACACATCAATTTCAAGTAAACCTGAATTAGCTTTTCCATTTGCTGCTATAGCTGTAGCATTATGGAATGATTGGCCAGATTTTGGTGATCTTCTATTAGCATTCTTTAGGACAAAGTGTCCATTTTTTATTCCTTTACTTTTACACCCTGAACCAAATCAGTCAGAGGAAATTTATATCAAATTGATTGGTTGGAAATGTACTGAAGATGGTGAACTTGAGAAACCTGAACAATATTGGAAGAGAATAGGAGGAATGATGTATCTTTATGCATCAATAATAGTGACAAAACAACGACAAAGCGTAAATAAACCTCATCCACATGGACTTGCACATGCATGGAGATGGCTTGCAGCTACTTTGAATATTGAGCCCACTTGTGATACTGCAGATATATTCGCTACATTAATATTCACAATGCTTGAAGTAGCTGGAAATGATTTGTGGAAAACATATCCAAATCAGTTTCCTAAAGTATTGCTAGTACTTAAAAATGTATATTTCCAAAAATTGAATAATTTTGATTCTGTTGTAAAGGCTCCAGTCATACGGTTGGGTGAGTTGATAGAATCAGCTTTAAAAAATTCTCATATACCACCACCTAAAGGACAGTTACCACCTGGTTTCTGGTAGTAAAAATTAGATAAATAAATAGATAAAAATGTCTAATATCATAGAAAGGTGTGTAAATTTTTTATAGCAAAATGTACATAGAAACCTTTCCTAGCAAGTTTGAAACTGGAAATTAAAAGAATATTAAAATATATAAATACTGGAAGTTTTTCTTTAAGCTTGTTTAATGTAGTATAATAAAATCTGTCATTGTCATGTGTATATAATTAATGGATAAGTGATAGAAAAATCTTTGTAATGAATTTTTATTCTATTCTATGCGACAACTTGTTAATCATATTCTATAATAATAGAAATAATTTTTTAAAGAAATTTTATTCGTTTTTTAATTATTTACCTTATTTAAAATTTCCTCCTTTTCCTCGATTCCAAAGTGAGTGCGGAACTGCGGACATGGAAAGCGCAGCATGTAGGAAAGATATATATATATATATTACTAGTTGTCTGTATTTATCTAATAATAAGTAATAAATACAGTTTTGTAAAAGGTCAAAGCCAAAAAATTAAATACGTTTGTTATGCTCGTGATACCACTATTGTTGAACAGTGATAAAAACATGACGTAAAAAAGTTTTTAATGTGTTCATTTTTACTGCTGTTACTTTGATATATACATAAAATTTGTATAAGTTCTTACTCAATATCAAACATTCATTAAGCAACTTGGTCATTCCTATTTGAGAAAATGAGTTCGGGTTTTATATCAGAAGCAGAAATCGCTGAACAGCGAAAATTAAGACAACAAGAATGGGAAAAAGTTAGAACACCTGATCAACCTTTAGGTTAGGATTCAAAATCTTTTGTTTGTAAAAAATTATTACTCATTTAGTGAAAAATATCAAACCCTATTTTTTTTTAATCAACAGAAGCTCCAGAAGAACCGTATGATCCAAGAAGTCTATTCGATCGACTACAAGAGCAAAAACATAAACGCGATGCAGAATATGAGGAAGCCCATAAACTCAGTAAGTTTTCCAATTTTCTCATACTTTTAAGTAATTTATAGATACTGTTGTTAGTAAGTTCAAATTATGTAAGCTAATTAACTCTTTAATAACATTTATTTGCATTAAGTTAATGTATTGTTTACAGAAAATATGATAAAAGGTCTTGATGATGATGAAGTAGAATTTCTTGATTTAGTGGACAGAACTAAAATAGAAGAAGAACGAAAGAAAAACCTTGAAGAAGAAAAAGAAATGAGAGAGTTCAAAGCAAAAGTTGCTTCTTTACAAGAAAAATCTTTAGATGAAAGGTTGAAACAAGAATTAAGATCACCACAGATCAGTTCTAGGTCTACCACAAGGTAATGAATACATAGGATAAATAATTATATTGCATGCAATAAAAAATTCAAAGTACAATTTTTCAAATCAATTGCAGGAGTTCACAAATAAAATTAGTTGCTGGAATTGTAAAAAAGTCTACAAAAACTGAAAGTAGTGAGTGTCCAAGTAATTCTAGAAATGAATAATTCTAAATTTGTATTTCTAAGAATTAGAAAATTGATTTTTTTCAAATAATTTTCAAGGTACTTCTCCACAAGGAATAAAAAGAAAATTATCAGATTCTGATGAAAACAGTAAAGATAAAAAAGAGCAAATAACACCAGAGGAAAAAACCAAAGGAACTATTAGCACAACAACCATTAGAAACTCATCTAGCGAAGGTGCAGAAATAACAGGAGCTTTAAAATGTATAGGAATCTTGCCAGGATTAGGTTGTTACGATAATTCAACTGACAGTGATTCTAGTTCTGATTCCGAACCTGAAACAGTTTGCAAGAAAAAGAAATTGGATATTATAGGACGTCCAATTGTACCTCCCAAAGAGGAACAGTAGATTGATAAAATTAGTTAAATTTATTATTTACAATGTATACATTTATTACTAAAGTAACAAATTAAAAATCTTTCAAAATTTTATCAATATCCAATACACTCCAAATGATTTATAAAACCTGATATTCTATTTAATTGATAATCAACTGATACAATTTCAATTACATTAAAATAATGAATTGAATAAATTTATACATAGATGTCGGCGCACATGAAAAAATATATCTCTTGAGTCCACAAAATTACTTAAATATATTTATAACTGATTAGTGTTCTTGACCAAGAAGAGACAATTGTTTAAGAAATTGTTTAGCATTTGTGAGTGTAGTAGAACCATAAACAATTCGTTTGCTTGTACCACCTCCAGTTTTCTGCTGTAAATTAAAATGAAAAACATTAATACACTAAAAATTTGTTGCAGAACCAAAAAATCTTTGGTGTAAAAGGTGTATTTGCTAATTGATATATTGAGCAAAATTTTATTATATAAGTACATTACATACAAAGTTATACTGTACATTTATTTAAAGTAAATAAACTATTTGATGGCATTTTTTAATTTCACCAATGATTTTTTTTATATAGACATACTCAAATTATTTACCTTTACGTAATCCATTAAATTCTGATACTCTATATAATTTCCACCCCCAACAATAAAAACTATAGCTTCTTGAAATGCTGTTCGAGATTTTGGAACTTGATCTGATTGCTTCAGTTGTTTAGGATCAAAATAAAAATAATCATCAGTTTGAGTAGATTGTTTCATATCAATCAATTCATCAACAATTTTAGTCACAGGAAGATTCTGGAATGAGAAAAAATACATGTAATATATTACATTCAAGTAACATTTTTAAAACGACGTAAACATTTCCACTTACATGTCTTTTAACTACTAAATTCTTCACTCCTTCCATCACGAATGAAGATCCTTGATTCATCAATTTAGAAAACATGCTGACAGTTTTTGTACCGCCACCTTCATAACTATTTGAAAGTCCTGTCATTTTCATATAGTTTCTAAAAAGCAAAATTTATTCAAATTAGTAAATAAGAAAACTTGCTTTTTTCGCTCAAACAATAATTCCAATTATTATCTTCGTTATACCTCCATCTCTTCAAATAAACCAAAGGATTCAAATCACAATTTATGTTTGATAGTGCAGCTTCATGTTTGTTGTAATCTGCATCAGACATATTTGTGCACAAGTAATAAATGATGAAAAGACGTAATTTATCTTCTGGCAGACCACATTCGGGATCATTGATTATATCCAGAATACTTCTATCAAGCGTTTGTTTGCTCATAATTTTTTCTTCAATTTCAAAAAACGTATCTAGTCGTCGAGATTTTATTGCATTCAATATCCCTGTAAAAATCCAATAGATATTATAATTAATATATTAGGAAAATTAATCACTTAATGATTATCTATTCAGTTACCAGTTGCTATCGTCGTATGCATATCAATTAGCCGCTTCATTTCCAATAGTTGTGGCAGTGAATTAACTGCGCTGGTGAGTTTAGCCGTATTATCAGATACCATGGACACAGCTTCGTCACTGTCATTACCAATACCCTAAAAAGATGTCAATTTAGAAAATCGATCTTTCCAAATATTTAAAAACAATAATATTAACATAATATATTAATATAATATTAACGACTTTACCATAGACGTTTTGAGTTTTTTTACTTCTGCTTCAAAACCTCGATACTGCTCAAGCTCTTCTTGAATAGCTTCAGCCACGCTTGGAAAAGGACTGCCCTTTTGTGATGCCCAAAATTTGTCGGAGTTATCGAGTTCACAAGCTCGCGTCTTTGAACGAGCTCCACCTCCGGTCGACTTGCCAGCACTTTCTTCTACTACCAGTCTGTTGAGAGACAGCTCTAATATATCATGAGCCAGAGCTTGATATGTCCATGTATGATGCAAAGCTGTTGCCATATCCACACTTCTGTCCAAGATTATTAATAACGGCCTTTGGAAACTATCAAAAGTAATAAGTAGTTATACAGTAAGCAGCGTTATATCTTTTTTCATCTGTATTTTTATAAAGTTTTGATTATAATTATTTTTCTCTTACCTGAAATGATTAGATCTAATTCCTTCACCTTGGAATAACGTATTTCTCGAATCCCAAACGTTATCCCTTAATTTTTTGTCAAGTTTTTTTGATACCATCTCTGCAGCATTGCCTCTTGGACATCTGATTATTGGTACTGTTCCTAATGTTACAAAAACTGAGAATAAACAGTCAACAATTATGTCCATAATTGTATCCATTTCTGTATCTTTCATATCTATTTTATTAAGACCTGCAAAAATAATTTATAATAATTATTGTAAGGTATTTATGTTAGTTTATGGTTGTATAGTATTATTTTATGTTCATAAAGAAGCATCTTACAATGATATGAAATGATATCACTATTTTGATGTCTCAATATGAAAAGGTCATCTTCTAATGTAATGAAATTCAGATACTGATCATATACCTGCAGTAAATAAAATTATGACACTCAATGTAATATAGTTACATAAATATTTTTTTTGACCAAACAATTTATAATTATACAATACCTTATGAATATTTGAAACTACTCCAGCTGTTAGAGCTGCACTTGCTAAGTCTTCCATTCTTTGTCGATTAATTGGAGATATGAAATTCAAATGATAAATGTCGTACAAGTTATTTTGAAAATCTTGACCAATACGTTGAATGTTTTCATCAGTTGGAACACAAAAATAAACTGCTGGAACTTCAGGGATAGGATCTCTGTCAGTGTGCAGCTGCCTAAAATTCATTTATATACAATTAAAAAATAACAAAACAAAGAGATTCAAAAGTGAAATCTAATACTCTAAGCAATAACTATCTTAACTCAATTATTTCTGATAATGTTTGGCTGATTTGTCTTCCAGCCTTATCAGGTCCTTTATTCAAAAAATATCCAATTGGTTATACAATAATAATGACAATTTTCACAATAAAAATGGTATCAAATCAAATAACAAAAAAAACACATACCAACGCACACTAAAGAATTTTTAAAATTACATTACTGATTGCTATAAGTCAAAACAAATTTTATAAATATTGTTAAATAAACAATGTAAAAAAAGATAATGTAATTTTGTAATTTTAAAAATTCTTTACTGTGCATTAGTATGTGTTTTTTTGTTATTTGATTTGATACCATTTTTATTGTGAAAATTGTCATCATAATTGTATAACCAATTGAATATTTTTTGAAGAAAGAACCTGATGAGACTGGAAGACAAACTAGCGAAATGTCAGAAATAATTAAGTTGAGATAATTCTTGTTTAGAGTATTAAGTGTCACTTTTGAATTTCTTTGTTTTTTAACATTGCGAGATTCAATATGATTGAAAGTAATAATATAATTAATTAGAAAATAATAAGTGTTTTATGACACTGTATAAAAACTTACATATGTAGAGTTATTCCATGTTCCCTAAGCTCTTTTATTGATATTAAAGGAGAAATTATATCTTGACCGATTCTATCGTAGATCAAAACTTTCCAAACTGGCATTATTCCTCCTGGCCTTGGCTCTTGTTCATTCAAATTGAGCATTTGCTTCAGAGCAGCTGTAAAATTATTTTAATCAAATAAGTATGTAAAATGAAACATTATATTTGATATTTTATTTAAATAAGTGAAAGGAAATAATGTTAAGAATTTAATTATTTGCATAAATGTTAAAACAGAAGTAAAATAAATACCAATAATAGGAATGTAAAGCAATTATAAAATGAAATTTTATCGAAATAATTTATAAGTAACTGTTTCATTGACATAATTATTTATTTATCATCATATTGATTGCTGATGTCATACTTAACTTACCAATTTGTTTTTCCCGAAGACTAGCCATTTTTGCTATTAACGATTAATTATGAAAACTAGATAAAATTTTTAATAAAATAACTTAAATTAAAACACATGGAATTATTTATTAATGAACAATTCCATCGCATAGTGTCAAGCTCACGACGATACAAAACATATGACGTTGACAACCAGAGAGTATGGAATAGTATAAGATTGGAGACAGCACGAACAACATTTTTCAAATAACATATTTCCTTATTGCTTTGAATAAATAATTTATATCTTCAAATATCTAATTTATTTTGTTGAGCAGATAAAAACTAATTAAATAATTCGATATTTTTTATGTGACATTCACACTAATTACATCATAAAACAGTGTTTCTTGACCATCACATTTTCATCTATCGACTTTTTAATTTGCATTCTATCTGTCTACTTAATCTGCAAGTCTATGACTCAACTTTATACTACAAAAATTCCCCTGTTCTCCTTCATAATAGTTTCTCTCTAACACCTCTTCTCCTTTTTTTCATTTTCATTGCTATCTTCTCTTCTCTTGTCTTCTTAAAATAAATCAAATTCTTACAGACATATAAAATACAATTGTCAATTTAATGAATTTGTGATAAGCAACCGTTATCAAGCGATAATAAATTTGCGACAATAGCTCATTACAAATGAAAACCTGACTGTTATGTGAATGTAACAGGTAAATCATACAAGTTTTCAGTAGACAACTTTGTACCTAGACTAGACACATTGTGTTTTGTGAATTAAAAATGGCAGAAAATCTTGGTAAACGACCTTCCAAAGGCATTCTTAAAACATCCAGTAGTTTTGATAATCAGGAAGCACCCAGGTAATCATTTTTAAGTTAACTTCCTTGTGTATAAATACAATGCATACCTGTTCTGTGTTAACTAATCGCATTTACATACAATATCGTGCATCAATACAATGTATACTTATTATATGTCAGTCAATCCCATTAACTTATACAATATACATTATGATTCATAAAATTGCACTCAGTTTTTTGTTTTTTGTTTCTAGTTATTATATTTTTATTGTATTTTGCAATTTTCTTTTAAATGTGCAAAAGTCATTAACAATAATAATAACTTAATCATTTGAATACTAAAAAAACATTTTTTACTATTGAAATCAGTCACTCGATTTATAATAAATAATTTGAATTGCTTATCATTTTCCAAGAGTCATGAAAGATCTAAAAATGTAAAATATATTCATTAAATTACAGTAGAGCAACAAAAGAAACAAAATGGGATGAAATGAATATTATAGCAACACTACATCCAGCAGATAAAGATTATGGCCATATGAAAATTGAAGAACCAAAAACTCCTTATAATTTTGAAGGTGTTCAACATGAAGATGATCACTTGGACTCTTCAGCAGTTGCATCAAAGTAAGTCTAATATTTATAAATAATATAACTATTTTCAATTCAAATCAGATTATTATAAGTATAATTATTTATTCTATTGTTACCAGGTTGGCTAAAAATACAAAGCCAAAAATATTTGAAGAATCAAGTGAAGAAGAAGAAGATGAAGAAACACCAGAAGAGAAAGGTATTATATAGGATATTACTGTAAATTCTCAAGTTTCTACAAAATTAAAAAAGAAATATTTTTTACATGTACTTAATTTTTATTTTAGAAAAAAGAAAAGCTTTTGAAGCAAAAAGGAAGTGTCATTATCGAGAATGGGAAGCTGTACAACTTGCTCGCAAAAAGCTCTTAGAAGAAGATGAGGATGAAGATGAGGATGAAGATATAAGTAATGAGAGAGAACAAGAGGAAGCAGAAACAGAGAAAGAAGATAAATCAGAAGGACTGATGGAATCAAATAATAAACAAGAGGACAGAAATCATGAAACTCAAAACAAGTGCGTGCCATTGAGTAAGAATGAATCCAAATCTGAATAAGTGTAATGACAATAATTTTGCCATTTCACTCATTCATGAATTGTCCCCTCAAGTTGATATTTTTAGACAGAAAGTATCTCATTTGTGATTTTATTTTGCTATTTTTATCTTCATGCTAAGTTCCTTGCATCTTTGCTCTCTCATAAGCTGTATGAATTGAGAAATAAGATATAGTCGAATTATAATAATTACAAAAATTGCAGAGTTGAATCATATTAAATAGACATGAAAATCATCATATATTATTATTAGAAATTTTGGATTTGCTGCCAAAATGTGCCAAATTATTTTTTTTCAATATTAGGATTATTTTGTAATCACGCATGTTGATAAAATTGTATAGTGAATAATTTAAATGTTTACAAATTTACATTGTTAGATATCAAGCACATTAAAACATCTTAAGTGTTTTTTATAAGAAATATTTATTTATAATATTCAAGTGATTATCAATTATGCTTATATTGACAGTAAATAAAATGATATATTCATTTTTCTATTTTATCATAAAAATTATTTTAGATTAAATTTTGAGGTGATACTTTATTTAAAAACTGTCTGATGGTAGTGTATAGAGAAACTTAAGTTGGATCATGAAAAATATAAATGTAGAAAAACATTGCGTATAAATTTATATAATAATGTATGTGAAACGTTAATATTATGTATATGATTATATAGAAATAGTCTATACAAAATAATTATTTCTTAGAAGATGTACTGTGAAACTTTACGCTTGCTGCTTATAATAATTATCTTTTTTATATTATTTCTACATTATTTGCAGTTACAGTAAGATTATTTACAAAAGTAACATTACCAGACCGAATCTATATATTGCAGTAGTTTTGTTGAATTCCTGTATAATAAATCATTGTAGAAAGTTCGTCCAATGGTAGTGAAAATGTACACGACGTTCTGGTAAATTCCACCTAAATATAAGAACAAGTAACACCAAAATTAACTCCACTTAAGTCAAAAAGCTCTCAAAAGTTTACAATAATTACAAAAACGAAACTAATGTAAAATATTTTATTGTTTTGTTGTAACTAATGATAGTATATTTTTGTGTTGTAAATAATACAATTACAAAACCCCACTAGAAATATCTAATATTAAGATGAATTTAGATAATATTGTTCTAATAACTAAACGGGAATATAAAAATAATAGACAGTAATATTTATAAATTGTTTTTTTTGCTTTTTACCGGAAGAAAGGTTTGTCTGAATGTAGTGGATATTTTTTACGAAATATTAAAAGTTCAAAGTTAATTTGAGTTTAATAATATGTATTTTATTTATTTAACGCTTAATCGAATGTTTATTGTTTTGACAGAAAAAATTGTAATGCGAAGTTTAAACAGACCGGAGCCAGTCACAAAAATGGTTGTTGTGCATGTGTAAAGAAGAAATTCAAGAAATAACGAAAAAATTGTATAAGAATTAATGATGTGAACATTTTTAATTAAAATATATAAAAATAATAAAAATGATTATTTCATTAAGAAAGTTTATGTCATTTTCATTTCAATATTTATTCAAAACAGATGTAAAATTAACATTATTATATAACTGATCAAGTCAACTCATATTTACAAAAGATAAAAAATACAAAATATTTACATTTGTTCATGAATCATGTTTGTTAACAACAATTGGAGCTTCAGAGCATATCATAAATTTTTCTTTTTCTTTTGCCTGTGTTTTTTCTTCGAAATTTTCTTCATCTTCTTTAAAATCATCATTAGAAGCTTCAAGTTCTGACACTACATTTTCATCTTCTAATGGACCTTTTGTTGGTCTAATAGGCAATCGATCTCCCCACTTTGTCACTTTAGCGCATCTGTACAGTGATCTAAAATATATAATTACTTTAGTAATAGCGTTGCTTCTACTCATTAATAATAGATTTTAATAAATTTAGTGATGCTTAGTTATGCTATTTAATGAAATTTTTATTTACTTTCCGTATTTTGCAGCAGTGAAAACGACTTCTTGTAGTTTTCCATCAGCAGTGCATAATTGACATCTAGCGTGTCTCGAACGTGCAATTGTGGGTCTAACTATTCGGTACCAATTATCGTTTTCTGTACGTGTACCTAGAAGTAGAAAAGATTAATTGTCTTTTTTAATAGGATTGTAAACAGTTACTTTAATATCTTTTTGAATAATAGAAAATTTTTAATAATACAATCAAATCAATGTTCTTTAAACAATCACCAACCTTTCTTTAAAACGACATATGAATAAAGCTCATTTGTAGCTTTAGGTGGTCCAAATAATGACAGTGACTTGTACTGAGATAAAAAATTACATGGTGTATTATTTTCTGCAAATCTAGGACACGCCGAGTCATGTGGACACTATAAAAAATAATAAATATTTAAAAGATTCTCAATTTTGATTTTACTTGGGTATAATAAACGTACCGGTGCAAAAATAACACATTCTAATTTTGGTTCTGAATTTTTCGACATATATTTAACAAATTCTCGTGCTTCATTGATTAACTATAATAAAACAATAATTTTTCTTATTAAGAATCAATGCCTAATAAGTAGATAGTGTACTAAGCTAAATCCAACTTACTGTAAATCCAGCTAACGTTCCTTGTTCAACAATTACCAAATATTTATCAGTTTTCCTCCACAGCTTAGATAATACTTCAAGTCGACATCTAGCATCAGATAAATCCATAAGAGTATAAGCACTTACAACAACTTCAAATTTTAACTAAAATTATAACAAATAATTATAGAATTTTATTTATAATTATTGTAAAGTAAAGAAAAAATCGTACGTTTGAAACTGGAAGATATTGTTTATGATATATGCCTTTAACTTTTGTAGGTGAATAACTGAAAATTTCTTCAGCTAAATCATTCATATCATTTGAAATATCTATACCAACATATTCTTCAATGTTCTTCCAATACTGAGTAGCAGCCCTGAAAATCGATTAGGTTTTATTATTTAAACATTTTAACTTACTTATTTACATGAAGAGTATTTTGAAAGAAAAAAAATAATAAAACTATATTTCATCTACATGCAAAAAATTGAATTATACATTTTTTATTCATCTAAACAAAATACAAATACACACCATAACACAGTTCCAACACCAGATCCAAAATCAAATACTGTCCGAGGTTTAAACTCTGGATCTCGTTTGTTTATTTCTTTAAAAATAGAAGTTAATGCAGCGTATTCAGCTACACATCTAGTGACCATGTACAATGCAGTTCTATAACCATGATAATCTAATGGTTTCCAGTTAAATATTGACTGTTTCAATTTCTTTTTCACTTTGGAATTCAATTTTTGATTCACTTGATTAGCTTCTTCTTCAGTCAAATTGTCTAATTTATTTTCTACTAATTTGTTTTTTATTTCGTAATATTTTTCTTTGATGTCATTTTTTTCTGCAGGCAATCGTCGACTAAACAGATAATTTGCAAATTTCTGATGTTCTAGTAAAACTTGATTTTTATTAGCATCTGTAAATCATCTGAATTATTTTTGGTAGATTTGTGATGTACAATATTAAGTAATATATCAATTAAAAATTTTACCTTCAACACTCTGCCTTATAGCTTGATCTAACCATTCTGGCAACTGAGTAATTTTATTTGCATTAACTCCTGGATGACGTCGAGGTTTTATTTTTTCCTTTTCAATTAATTCTTCTATGTTATTTAAGAGCTTAAATTTTGGAGCTACTGAATACTAAAATGAATATCAGTTAGCATTATAAAAAATTTTTAATCATTTCAATATTCGTTATATTGTATTTTCTTACCGTTCTCACTTGCAATGTAAAAACTAACTCTAATTTTTTGAGTAAATGAGAAATTTTCGCCATTATATATATTCACTTTATAAGACCATCAGTATGAGTTTTCTACAGGCATAAATGAAAATTAAAAAATAGTTTATCTTGAAGCCATAAGAAATTATTATTGCTAAATAGAAGGAATTAGTTACGTTATGAGTATTAAATTTTAGAGTGATGTTAGTCATTGAATAAATATAAAATTTTATAAAACAGTTTTGAAAATTGCAAACAATTATTATTCTACACAATAACCCTCTAAATAAAATCTTTTCTTACCAGAAATTCTAATTAATAAACAGAAATTCGATAAATATTTCGACTATGAGCAGAAAACGTACTAACCACGTTACGGCGTTACGGGGCATGCGTAAGTCGTCTATATTCAGAGGCTGTTGGACAGGTTGGACTACGCACTACGCAGTAGGTATATATGGTGCGCAAATCTTTCCGTCTTAAGTATAATGTCAATGGAGTAACTAATCAATGTTAATGTTGTTAATTAATTTTGCGAGGAACAATTCGGCACATAATTTGACACAATGCAGTGCGCAGCGTCTAAGTGCGCATGATCAACACCATAATTAAACCTCCACCCATGGAGACTCCATGCCTCTGCCTCTGGTCTATATTTTAATTACACTCAGGTTAGACTGTACTGCTTGTAAACAAAATATATTTATACATTGATCAAGAACTACCGACAGGTCAATAGACGGAAATCAAAGAAATTATTATATTAAGTGCTTTGTTTAATATTATAAGTAATCATGTCTAGTGCACACGAAGATACAAAAATTGTATTCAAGAAGAAAAGTCGTAAGCCTTTAAGAAAACGTAGGAATTCGTCAGATGAAAGTAATCAGGATGACAATGAAGAAGGGGTTAGGTAAAGAACTGTTGTTTGATTAATTTTTTTATTTCTTTTTAATTTACGATGAAATTATTGAACAAATTGATATTTGCATATTAATAGATCAAAATTAGAAGAACTCAAAACAATCCAAAAACTTCGAGAACGGCCAAATGGAGTGAATATTGTTGGATTGGCAACTGGAGAAACTGTTTCTGTTGTGGAAACAATAATGGTAATTATTTAATCTAATCTAATTAATAAACATTATCAACTATTGATAAAAGTAATCTATAAAATGTTGTTTTCAATTTCAGACAGACCCTTTTAATATAAAAACGGGTGGATTGGTTGATATGCAAGCTTTGAAAAATGCTAAATCAACCAAAAGTGATGCATATGACACCGGAATTGGTACTCAATTTAATGCTGAGACAAACAAACGGGATGAAGATAAAGAAATGTTAGTATTTGTAAATTATATTATATACTTTTTATAACTAATTATAACTAATGAAAAATATTCATAATACTTCAGGTTGAAATACATAGAGGAAAATGTTGCAAGAAGAAAAAATAAAAATAAAATTGACACAGAAAAAGATGAAAGCAAAAGTAAACCACTCTATTGTTCTCCAGAAGAAGCAGCTTTCCAAGCAGTACCAGAGCATTTAAGACAAAGTTCATCACATAAAAGTGAAGAAATGTTATCAAATCAGATGCTGTCTGGTATTCCGGAAGTAGACCTTGGCATTGAGTAAGTATAAAATATTGTATTCAATACTTTCTTTGCAAATGATTGAAACTGAATAATAAATAATGTAACTTATTTATAGAACAAAAATTCGTAATATTGAAGCAACAGAAGAGGCAAAAATGAAACTTCTGTGGGAGCGTCATAAAAAGAAGGATAGCCCTTCACAGTTTGTACCAACTAATATGGCTGTAAATTTTGTGCAACATAACAGATGTAAGATATAATACTATCTGTTTAATTAAAAATATTATTTTAATTTGCTGCAAAATTTGATACTGCTTATTTCTTAGAATAATTCATTGATAGTCAATACAATTATTGTTTTATTTTCAGTTAATATTGAAGATCCAAGTGCTCAAAAGAGAAAGCAAGACGCAATTTTGCAAAAGAACGCCGCGCGTTCATCAAATCCAAGAGATAAACGAAAAGATGGGGTAGACGAGAAAGCTACAGATGACTATCATTATGAAAGATTTAAAAAACAATTTAGGCGATTTTAATACATGATGTTAGAACTTTGTAATATTACTTTTTGTACTTGGTTCTGACAATGAAGTTAATTTTGAACAATACACTGAAAGTTGTAAATAAGGATGTAAATATTGTGATAAAAAGTGAAATAAAATTAATTTCTGTTTAAAGTTGCTTGTAATTTTTTTGACACTTTATATAATACCAAACGTGCATATTATATCAAAAATCACTTGCAATGACTCAGACAGTTATTAAATGAATAAAATGTATAAATATTATTTGAATATATAAATTAATAATTCATGTTACTTTTATTATTTCTCATGCTAGTGACTAAGGCTTTCAACTAAATCCTATTCATTGAGTGAATTGTTGGTAAAAATTACAATTCAATTATTCATACATTTTATACTAAAAATAAATGAGTACTGTGATGAATAAGAAAAAGTTTCCTGTAGGTATATTTTTTTTCTTTCTTATGGATTGAAATAATATTTAAATTTTCATAGAACAAAAAATGTCCTATAATAAGGAAAGGTAATCAAATAAGCAAAAACCGAGTTATTATAAATACAATAAAATATTCAACTATTGATCAAGCCTCAAAAGAAAATAATCATAATAATAATTTAAATATATAGAATCGGCAAAGGTAACTCGCGTGATGAAATTCTATCACATGAATATTTGACTATAATGCGGCTGCTTCATCAACTATGCGTGCGAGCTAATACAAATTATTACTATAGTCATGCATGGGGAGAGAGGAAGGGTTTTCTCGAGACGCACGCGCGCGCCTCGTTAACCCCCCACGCCACTTGCTGTGCCGCAGGCCGCAGTCACTGGCAAAGCCTCGGAGTCGTATTCACGATAGATTAGTCGAAGAGAGCCTAAAAAGAGCATTTGGCGGCCTCTAGCTCTAGTTGTGGCCTAGATTCTCTTATATTTTTTGTTATTTTGTTAGAGTTATTATGAATACCTGTGGGTTCGTCACTTGCGGTCCTAACGAGGCTCTCGTAGTCTCAGGTAAATTATTCAAGTTATTTCTTCAGTAGATGCATGGAACGCGTAAATATACATATCTCTAGATGTGATAAATACATAGTAGCTCCTTACCGCAGCTCCCATTTTACTTGACGCAGTGTACGCGAGAGAAAGATAGAGAACGGAAAACCTTGGTGGTGGGTGCGTCAGAGTTTGTAGCTATACACACACTAACTTTCCTGTGTGGAGTCTATTTGCCCGTGCATATTTCTGATTACGATTTTCGATTTTCTAATAATTTATCACACCAACTTTTACTTTTTTCTGTATAACGTCAATGAATGGTTGGGTGTCTCAGGAGCTTATCAATTTGTGATGTTGTGTTTCAATAACGTACTTTTTTCTATTAACTGTCAATCATACTCCAAAATATAATTATTAATGTATAAAGCGATGTTCATCCCATTAACTCATAATTGAGTAATGACAGCACTGTAGAAAGTTCAGAAATTGTTCTAGTGAAATTAAGTAATAATGTCCATCAGTTATTACAATGAGTATAATTTTTTTAGGATGTTGCTATGGTAAGCCTTTGTTGGTGCCTGGAGGCAGAGTTTTTGTTTGGCCAATTGTCCAGCAAGTTCAGAAGTAAGTATAATAACTTGGAAACATAGATATACAACTCTAAAGTATCAATTATGGCTCATAAATATAATAAAAGACTCAAGTGGATGGAATAAGACTTAGTCATAACATGTAAGATAGTTCAATTTAAAAAAGTATTTTATTTTATTTTCAGAATCTCTCTGAATACCATGACTTTACAAGTCGAAAGTCCTACTGTATACACGTCCCAAGGTGTACCAATATCAGTAACTGGTATTGCACAAGTAAGAGAATCACTTAATTAGTAACATTAATTCAATATAAGATAATGAGCAAATCAATAATATTATTTTTTATATAGGTTAAAATCCAGGGTCAAAACGAGGAAATGTTATCAACAGCGTGTGAACAATTTTTAGGGAAATCAGAAGAAGAAATTCATAATATTGCTTTAGTGACATTGGAGGGTCACCAGAGAGCTATAATGGGTAGCATGACTGTTGAGGTAACCAATGGAATAATCTCTTAAAACCTCTATGTATCAAGTTAATTGGTTTTTAGCATACTTTATTTCATCTAGGAAATTTACAAAGACCGTAAGAAGTTCAGCAAGGAAGTATTTGAAGTAGCTAGCAGTGATCTTGTAAACATGGGCATTACTGTTGTCTCGTATACTTTAAAAGATATCAGAGATGAAGAAGTAAGTTATCTAGTTATTATATTTGATACTTTTCTTATAAAAAATTTCTTTATAATCTTAACTATTAATTATTTAAAGATCCTTTTTTCAATCATGCAAAGCATTGTAGAAAAATTTCATTAGCTTCTTAAGAATAATAAGTTCGCCTTTCAGTTTGAACCAAATCAGCTTATCATTTAGTTGTTTATAATTGGCGATTTTTTAAATCATTCATCTGTTATTTTTGTTCACGATTACAAACGAAATATTTTTTGTTTTGCTACTTTGCAGGGGGCAAAGGTATGTTAAAATTTTTAGTTTTTCACTAGAATTTTTCATAGTACTGCCATCTGACATTACATCACAGTTGGGTTTGTGTAAATCACATGTTTTGTTTCACTTCCTAGTTATTTCTGTTTTTGTTGTAAAATTGCTGTTGTTTCATAAATGTATACAAACATATTCAATACTAATGTCTAAGAAAATATATGCAAATATCTATTCACATATCCGTTTTTTAATTTTTTATATACTCTTTTTAAAATAAATTGCAGCACATTGTGATAAAAAGAAAAACCTAATGAGAACTTTTTATCAATCATTCATTTGCAATGTTCATAAATATAATATATTGATATAATTCGTCTACAAAACATTGTAAATAAAATTTCGATCCGAAATATTAATGGAGTTTTTCGTTTTAAAATATTTTATATGTTCTAGGGATACTTGAAAGCTCTGGGTATGGCTAGAACCGCAGAGGTCAAGAGAGACGCTAGAATCGGAGAAGCTGAAGCTCGCAGGGACGCTCAAATCCGCGAGGCTATTGCCGAAGAACAGAGAATGGCTGCTCGTTTCCTAAATGACACTGAGATCGCCAAAGCGCAACGGGATTTTGAACTTAAAAAAGCTGCTTATGACGTTGAAGTTCAGACAAAGGTATTACGATAAACTTTGCCTATTAGGATTTCACGTTTACACACAAATTCTATACAAGGATTGTCAAAAATTATTCTCTATTAAAATTAGAAAGCCGAAGCTGAGATGGCTTTCGAGCTTCAAGCAGCAAAGACTAAGCAGCGAATTATGGAAGAACAAATGCAGGTGAAAGTTATAGAACGTGGACAAGAAATTGCTGTCCAAGAACAAGAAATGTTGCGACGGGAAAAGGAATTGGAAGCTACAGTTCGACGTCCAGCTAATGCTGAAAAATATAGGCAAGTCGGCGAATTTTTCTTATGTGATACAAACTGTTTTATATAATTTAAAATGTGTGGATTGAAATGATTATTTTGTTACTGCAGGCTTGAAAAATTGGCTGAAGCAAACAAGCTCCGAACCGTAATGGAAGCAGAAGCCGAAGCAGAGGCAATCAAAATTCGGGGCGAAGCCGAAGCTTTCGCCATTCAAGCCAAAGCCAAGGCAGAAGCTGAGCAAATGGCTAAGAAGGCCGCGGCCTGGAATGAATACAAGAGTGCTGCTATGATTGATATGATGCTGGATACTCTACCAAAAGTAAATATAACACGACAAATAAAAGCTGAATTATATTTTACCATGTAATTAAAATAATGGTGTTTTTCCTCGTCGATCAGGTCGCTGCTGAAGTAGCTGCACCACTTTCTCAAGCCAAGAAGATAACGATGGTATCGAGTGGTAACGGTACAGTTGGAGCTGAGAAATTGACAGAGGAGGTGTTGAACATCGTATCACGCGTACCAGAGCTCGTGAAGAACATGACTGGCGTGGACGTAGCAAAAGTATGTGTACGAAGCCACTGATTTTGCTCGCCTAGCCAACAAAATAAGCTTATAAAATGCCCGCCACGGCAACATTCGCTAGTGTTCGATCATACCAAGCTATTTGCAATATTTAACTCTCTGATTTTTATTTATTTTCAGTCTGTACATGCAGCATAAAATGGTGCAGTGCCAAAAAGAAATGCCTCAAATGCATTTTTCCTTTTTGTGTCCGGGAATATTATTTCTTGCGACTTCTTTAATATTAAATGCATACTTATAGTAGGATACTTTGACGTAGATATATATCTTAATTTTATAAGCTCTACCGTTATTCTTGATTTGATAATTGCACTGAATTTGTCACTCCATTTCATTTAATATAATACTAAAAGTGCAAAATTTATTTATTTTTTTTATAGTGATTTACTTTCTTATATTTTTGTAAGGTTCATCTTAACTTTCAATAAATATTTGAAATATTTATTTATATTGGTTTTTGAATCACGACAAATTTATGATTTCTGCTACAAATGATTGCATTTCAATACTGCCGTATTTTCGTGTTACAATCTTTTTGATCTGAATGTATTACCACAAATTACCAATAGTCGAGTAATAACTGTGAAACTCCGTGGATGTAATTTTCCTAAAAATCAAATTGATGACTAAATTAGTTTACTCAAGTGAAAAAAAAAATAACTGTACATTCCAGAATAAGTAACAATCATTTTAATGGCAAAAAATTGATATAATCATACAGAATCAGTATTTATCCTATTGCTGTGTTCGTTTTTTTTTTGTGATATATATTTGTAAATTGTTTTATATCATACTTTTTATTTTGCAATCCTTCATAACGCATTTGGAGCGAAGGCAGAAAGGGTATGGTAATACGTTGGAAAAAAATTTATTGACTCTGTATCGACATCGATGAAAAAAAAACACTTGATAACTAAAGAAAATATTACCATTTATATAAGAGTGATTTTAATGCCAAAATGTGCCGCTTATCATTCCGTTGAATATTCCATTACTCAGTGTAATTTTCAAGGGAAAACTTTACTTTCAATAATGATATTACTTTTTTGGCACAATTAGATTCTTAGATCAAGAAAATCAATTGGAAAGAATTAAATACAAACAAATTGTATCAACTGAAAAAATCTATTTATATTCAAACACGTTAATAAATTTAAATTTAGAATTTTTGGCGAAAATTTATGACTTTTCATATTTTTGTTTAAATACACACTAATTACAAAAAAAATATTAGAGAAAAGTACACAAATTTTTGTCAAAAGTGTCAAGTATTTTTCAAGTTTTGCATTAAAAAAAATCTTCGTAAAAGTCTCCAGTAGACAGACAAACATTTAACAAAGTAATTTTAATTGTAATCGCGTACTCTCATTATTTACTGATTCGAAGATATTGTTTTTCGCGATGTTTTCATTTGAATTTAAATATTTACATGAATAAGTGTTTAGTGAGTGATAACAAGCTAAAAAAGATCGCCCAAGAGTAATGAGTAATATCAACATTATCTAGTCTCCAGATTTTCATAGTTTCTAAAAAAAAAGCACGACTCCAAGTGTTCAGTTATACATATATTTTGTATTCTAAGATGAGAAATAATTGTATTTTGTCCTTACATTGTATACTTAAATGGAAATAAATACGTACGAGTACTAAACTCTACGTGAGGAATCTATCATAAGCTTAGGTAAAAAGTCATAAAAAAATCGATTCTGTAAATTGTAAGACCAGTCTCAAAGCCTTATGCGATAATAAATAATTAAAATTTGAATGAGAAAATAAAATTAAATTCATTTAAGTAGTTGTTCTATATTTATTGAACGCCTTTATTAATTTCAATAATGCGAATTATTATTTGAATGTTAGGTCTGAAGTTCGTTTGGATAAAAATGTTTGACTAAAGTGAAAAAAAGGAATGCAGGCAAATAATTTTATTATTATGGTTATACTTTCTCGAAAGTTTTCAGTATAAAGTTCACAAAAAAAAGAAACTTAATAAAGTTGTAAAAAAACTTTTTAAAATTATGTTATGCCTTTAATGTGTTTGTTTTGAATTCGATAAAATGACTGATAAGCCTAAAGTAGACGATAATTATAAGTCCTTCTTGATCGATTTCCTCGCAGGAGGAATTTCAGCGGCAGTTGCAAAAACTGCAGTAGCTCCGATCGAGCGAGTTAAATTATTGCTCCAAGTGCAGCATGCATCGACACAAATCAAAGCCGATCAACAGTACAAAGGTTGGAGAAGAAAATGCACACTATAATTTCAAATTTTATTGTCCTTCATGTTTTATATAGGAATCATCGATGTCTTGGTCAGGGTACCTCGAGAAACTGGATTCTTGAGTTTGTGGAGAGGCAATCTCGCCAACGTCATAAGATATTTTCCGACGCAAGCTTTGAACTTTGCGTTTTTTGACAAATACAAAAAATTCTTTTTGGGTGGCATTCCAAAAGATGCATTTTGGAGGCAGTTAGGTGGCAATTTGGCATCTGGAGGAGCTGCTGGAGCTACATCTCTCCTTTTCGTTTATCCCCTTGATTTTGCCAGAACAAGGTTCATATTTACATTGAAACAATTGTGAAATTCTTGAATCAATTATTGTTTTCATTAGATTAGGCGCAGATATTGGAAAGGGAGATAACCGAGAATTTAAAGGCACAGCAGATTGCCTTATGAAAGTTTTCAAATCTGATGGCCCAATTGGTCTATATAGAGGTTTTAATGTTAGTGTTCAAGGAATTATCATATACAGGGCAAGTTACTTTGGTCTTTATGAGACAGTAACTAAGACATACATCTCTGATCCAAAAAGCTCACCGTTCATTATTAATTTTCTTATTGCTGAGGTATTAAATACTTGAGTTTAAATCAAAACCAGACGAAGAAAAATATTATTGCTACATAAAAGAAATTTGAATTCTGTTCAAGGCTGTAACAACTTTATCAGGAATTGCATCATATCCATTTGACACTGTGCGAAGAAGAATGATGATGCAGTCAGGTAGACCTGTAGAACAGAGAATGTATAAAAATACCCTTGACTGTTGGTTTAAGATAACGAAGTCAGAAGGACCGACTGCTTTTTTCAAAGGAGCCTTTTCCAATGTATTGCGCGGAACTGGTGGTGCTCTTGTATTAGTTTTGTATGATAATGTTAAGGATGCTATCAATGATTCCATGAAAGCTTGATACCATCTAAGATTATTTAAAACATATTTTTATTTTCAGAAGTTATTTTTTCATTCAAATAATCACATGTAAAGTTCTACATTTTATGTAGTAAACATTAAATACTTAAATTAAGAATAAATCTATAAAATATCAAATATTTACATATTAAACGAAAATACTCTTTCAATTACTGAGAAAAATTAATGAATAATCGATTCTCAGAATTTCACATACGATTTTATATCTTATTAGAATTATTAAAAAGTACATCAAATTTTCATTATACACAATTCAATTTAACATTGTGTGGCGATCATAGATATTACGTCTTTGTTCTTGTACTTGACGTTTCCATTTATCTTGTTGGTGGCCTACTCGATTTAGAACATTTCCTCTAACACCCATTGCATGTGACATTCCAGGAGCAACAGATGTGTCATCCTAAATAAAATGACAGTCAAGTCAATCATAAACAAAACTTACAAACATAAGACAAATTTTATATAAAAAAAATAATTTTTAATAGTAAGTTTAGTAATTCATGCAACATTTAATTATTGAATACACACTATATATGTTTCTATATTGAAACAACTATAATTACTTTATTATTAGTTAGTTCATTGCATTTAATTTTAAATAAAAATATATATTAGCTATGCAGAGGGAAATATTAATTAAAAGAATTATTAATTATATTGATATAGTATATACAAAAGAAAAATAAGTGTCACATTATCTGACAACAAAGGCAAACAAAGACTCAAACTATAAAATTATAACTGAAAAAGCTGTTAATCTAAATGAACTAATCTCTCTCTTTCTCTTTCTCTTTCTCTCTCTCTCTCTCTCTCTCTCTCACACTCTCTCTTTCTCTCTCTCTCTCTCATTCAATGCACAATACATACATTCATATAAATAAAATTTTTATAACATACCTCTTCATTGTTATGTTCTTGGTATCCAACATTCCCTGTAGCTTTGTGTAATCGTTTATTAAGTAGAGGCTCCAAACAAATCAAGAATAACATATAAATCACTAATAAAGATATGACCCATATAACAATTATAACTACAATCTGTAAACAAAAAAGGAAATTATTTTCTTGTTTTTGAATATTCAGATATACTATTCTATTTTAGCAATCTATAGCTTACTTTAATTATAGTAGTATTTCTATTCTCATATTTACAATCACAACTAGCACATATTATCTGTTCTTTATCTTTAATTTTGTCTTGAATTTTTATATCTGTATTGAGTTTTGCTATAACAGCACTCTCACAATTACTGAAATAAAAATGCATTTAATAATTAAAACTTTCATATAACGGTCATGAGGGTAATAGAATCTTTATGCTTTTTACCATTTCGTAGCAGGAACATTTGTTATGTAATTTTTATCCACAAGTGTTAAATTTAAAGCAGAATCAATTTTTGGACAAATACATTTACATCTTTTATCATCATATGATTGAGCCTAAAATTACAAAAAAAATGAACAGATGACAGACAAAAGATAGATTTAAACGTCGCATTCTAAAACCACAAAATGCATTTAAATTAATATAAAAATTACTAATTTATTAACAAAAGATATTTAAAGATTACAAAATGCTGATACGTGATATGATTAATATTACATGAACTTATAAAAAACCAGATTCTAACCTTGCACTGCATAAAATAAAGTATAAAAACAGTCGTAACTACGAATTTCCACATTTTATATAAGTCGTTTACAGCTGATACAAATTTTGAACACTTTCACTACTTTATTAATTGGATAATATGCGACAAATTCATCGAAATAAGAAATTTTATAGTGAAATTGATATTTCACCAAAACATTAGGAACAAAAACTCCCACAAATCACAACACAATCCACAATCCTTTAGTCCCTGAAATACACGGGCATACATATATGTATGTGTGTACATGCATACATATGCTGAGTGCAACTGCAATCGCACTTTTAATATGGCGTTGGTATCGCGACGTGTCAATTTTTAAAAATGTCTAAGTTTGTCTTCTTGTGGAACTCGTGTGTTTCTAGCATAAAATTGTTTATAAACAGACGATGAAAATATAAGAATTAATTAATAAAAATTGTCAAATAAGAATGTTGAATATTTAAGAAGATAGGAGAATATCAATAAGTGATAAAATTATAAATTTATGAAATAGTTTGTTTATTTGTTGCGTGCTATATGAGGTTTAATTAGTACACTTTTACTTTTATAAAATTTATAATTTTTAAGATACTTACAATAAGAAAATAAATTATTATTACTCAATTTCAACATATGTTACTGAAAATTAATTAAAATAATTTTATTTTTATCATGATAATAACAATATTATTGAATACATAGTACAATACATAGACGTGTTTAGGAAACTGTTATATAAAGCATTTACTCTCTAATTAAATACAAACCTTAAAATAGGTAAGTTTTGGAATGAATATTCAAAGTTAAAAATAATATACCTCTGATCTATTATTATGCTTTCACCCCTTGAATGCGAGAATATTGCACTTTTATTTTTTCTGCAATATAGTTGCAGAAACAAATATCTGTTATGTCTACATAAACATGAAAATACTATACTGTGAAACATTGATAATTGAACATTGAATTTAAGAAAAATATTACTCAAGTGCAGTAACAAAATTGTTTTGCTGCTAAAATAAAATACTAAACTTATAGACTGGAATTTAAGTAATATTTTTTAACCATAACCGTTTGTTTCGTTAAAAAAATTTATAATATTGACATAAATTATCAGAATTGCTTTAATCTCGAAAATATATTTATGCACGAATAGAAATAATTTGGTCATTAGAATCGTCTTGTATCAACTATCAAGATGTAGATCTTGCACAGACATTATCACGTATATTTAACAACAGCGGCACTTTATTGATTGATTTCTCAATCGTGGTTTCCATTACACGTAATATGGCTTTACATCTGGTATCCATTGGCCAACTATGAAAGCATCACGATTTACTTCATGTAGAAACTCGCCAGCATGAATTATAATTTTTTTCGAGTAGTCAAGTACTTATAAGCTCTAAGAGGAACTCTTCCAAGCAATGATTCCAATTAATAGAGACAAAATAATACCAGCAATTAATGCTAGTATGAACTTCTTCTTACGTAATTTATTTTTATAACCAGATGCTTGTCTAAGTTGTGTAGCTCCCTCATTAACAAATACTTCTGTCCTTTCTACAGATGCTTCAATGGAATCTATGACTTCTCCTTGTTCATGTACAATGGCTCCAAGTTCTTTGAATATTTGATTAACGTTATTTATATCACTCTGCAATAAAACAAACATTAAATTAATATTATAACTTCACCATTATCTGAGTTAACCTACTTCAAGTTGACGAATATTAGCTTCTTGTTCCTCAAGCATTCTCAAGTTCTGTTCATCCTGTTCATGCTGCTGTTGTATCTGTTTTTGACTTCTATTATCTTGAAGCTCGATTAATGTTTCTTGTTTCTTTTCACCAAAGTAGCTGAGTCCTACACTAGCTTTTGCTCTCTTGATCATGTCTTTTTCTTTGGATGCGGCTAACCTTTGTACAGACTATAACAAGTATAGTTATTGTAAAATTATGTTTATAACAAATAAATAAGTTAAGCAACTAAATTTTTACCTGGAAATTGTTGAGGGCTGCCATGAATTCATCCTGGAGTCGTTCTTTTTGCATTTTATGCTGTCGTTGCTCACCAGGACTATTGGATCCAGAATTTGCCAAAATACCCAGCTCTTTAAGATGACTACTGGTGTCTTTAGCAAGTTGTTGAGTGTAATGCTGTATTTGATGCCTGCAATTACAAACAATAATAAGCAATAATAATGAAAAATGTACATTGATTTCATCAATACCGATAAATAAAAAAAGATATTTGTTTAGTGCATTACTCACAATTGATTTTGAAGTTCCTGTGAGTCTGCAGAACTTCCAAGTTGGTTGACCATTTTTTGCATTGATGATACTAAAATGATGAAATCAGTAGGTTACAAGATGACTAAGAAGAAATTTATTGTATTGGTTATACATACCATTTTGTGATATTTTTAATACTGATGTCCCAATGGTCTGAGCCAACCTATTGAAGTCCTGTTCTCTGGTTGGACCACCATTGTGGTAGGAAGAAAATCCAGCATCCATCTCGTAAATAGCTAATTCCAAGGTTTATATATATAGTAAAGTCTTGCCGAAAATATGTCCAAAAAGTTGATAAGAAGTATAATCCAATAAGAAGTAAACGAGTACTTTTAAAAGTACAACTGCGTGTTAGTGCAATGCAATATCAAAGCGCAGTTGATCAGCTGTCGCAAGCTTGATTTCACCGTAATACTAAATCGAAATAACGGAGGAGGACGAGTACCTTATTTATATAAGTCATTCTACGTATATTAAAAAACGAATAGCTACCTTATTACTTACGAGATTCGCAATAAAAAGTATGTCTTAGCTCACACAGATCGACCTTTCGCGAGGTGCTTCTCTAAACAAGTACATACCAAGTCCAGCTAAATACAGGAAGCACTAAGAATACATGATCGATATAACCTGGTGCTGTATATGGAGTTGCAACAATTTCTCTGTACTCCGTTTAATCCGTTTTGATGAGCACGATAACTCCTCCTATTATTCACTATAGACGCAATTCACATTTATAATTGCACCTCGTGCACGCACTTACACATAGATACATCTGAAAATCGTACCTTTGTATCTTGCTTGCTTATATTTATAATGCGTTGTTCTTGTTTAATAGATGTGACGACAGTTGACGACACACAGTGTGGGATTGGTTTTGTTTTTTTTTCTCCAAAAGTCCGAATGCGAATAGTAAGGAAGCCCGGCCACGACATGAGCGAGACATAGAGTTACCGTGCACAAAACGAATTGCCGTGCAAGTTGTCGTGCACAAAACGAGTTGGCGTGCAAGTTCTGCGCACGTCGCGTTGGACGTTTGTAAAGACTAAACCTAACCAAAAACCATTTTGAATTTTAAATAGTACTTATCGCTAGATTCTAAGAGTAATATGAAAAACAATTAACAACGTTAATAAAGTAATAATATTAAGAAAGTAAGTTAATGATTTCAATAATATTTGACAACACCTTTATTTAAAATTTTTTATAATAAGTATGATTACAATTGATATTTACTTTATAGGTTGTTTTCCTAATAGAAAGCTTTTAGTTAATCAGATTTGTACAATGGAATTAATTCCAAAAGATGTTACGAAAAAGTATTTTAATGAAGGTTATAGTTATATAGAGATTCAATAAATTCTAGAAACGTATAGAGTATTTATATGTTATAGACAATTACAAAGAATTGAAAAAAATTTGGAGTTAAATAGAAAAAACAAGGAATTAATCTCAGCCACAAGGATTTGTATCCAAGACAGCTTCCACTACTTTCTAGTTCGTTTAAGAGGCATAAAATTATATTATCTAAATTCCGAGTTGAAAAATGAAATTAGTTATTTACTATCTACGTGTTTTGCAACTATATTAAAATTATTTTGAATAACGCATTTTTTTTATTTAAGTCAATCGAATAAAATGCTTCAACATACAGCTTCCATTACTTTTTTATAAGGTGATAACCCGGATAACGGCTCTGATAACGGATGGTTATAATGACATTTTGATTGAATAGAAAAATTGCGCGTGATTTTTGCTAATGTTTCAAAGCGTTCATTTCGATAAAACTCTATAACTATATATAGAATTAAAATATATAAGCTATATATGTATACAATTAAAACACTATACGCAGATTCAATTTCTATTGATCTGGGAGTGTTCAACTTTTGGAATATTTTTATTAAGACAAAATCTTAATTGCACGAAATTATCAATGAGTTTACTATCCTTGCCAACCGCGCGCAGTTTTTTTATAATTTTTCCAAGTCAATTGTTGTCAATTCCTAGTTGAGTTCTTTCATTTGCTTAGTATAACCCTTATATAAGTATACTGCTCTAATATTATTTTACGACCCGCAAAGATCAAAATCTAAATAATTTATTCAACGATTGAGTATGGAATCAAATGGATTTATTCTGGCAAGTTGCGGAGGATAACTAATTGTAAATAGGGCCGTGATTTAACTTCGTTTGGTATCATCGATGCTTAATTATTGAGAATAATTCCGATTTTGAACTTCTTCGGTCGCGTATTAATATCCGTGGGCAGAGTTATACATCCACCTGATCCACTGGTAAATGATTCTGTTCTGTACAAACGTTTTTAATTTAACTGCTGAAGTCAAAGTAAATACAGATTCAAAAATTATCAATAGGTATCTATTTCTTATTATTATTCGCAAATAATCAAGAGTGAAATCTCTGACGATAATTTCGAAATCTGTATTTACTGTCTTCAGCAGTCAAATTCAAAATTCGTGCATTGCTGATGGGTTAATTATACATACATACATATCGGACTCCCGTAATATACTTCACACCTCCCTATACAAATACAACGCCATTCGACGCTTCCTATTTCTTGTTAAGTGCTGCAATAATCGTTCGTTAATTAAATATTTATGCTAAGTAAGTTCATTATTTTAAAAAACTAATTAGGATGCATTTAAGAAAATGTTATGATGAATAATTTAATTAGTCATACGTATCAATATCTTCATATTTTTACCTTTAATAGTATATTTATTATCGTTTTAATTTATGAGTGGATAATTCTTAACGGCATTTGAATAATAATATTTATTTTAAGAGCAATTTTATTTCCGTAGGGAGAATTTTGAGAGCAACTTTTTGAGATACCACAAGTTAATCTTTATTATTAAAAGTGCTAATCCAAGTATAATCCCGTATTATATCTTAAGATTTGCTCGTATTTTAAAAAAGTAATTGCCGGTACACTGATATATTAATACTGCATTTTGTAAAATATTTTACTGGCATTTGTTATATTAGATCAGTGTGACAAGAAAGTCAAAAGATTTCCTTTTATCTATCAGGTCGATACATTATTACATTTTGATCACAGCTCACAACAATTCAAGAAGCAAACGAATATAAACGGACGCTTATATTTTCCGTAGCGTCTCCCCGTCTCCCTCTCAATAGTCTCGACCCTCAGTGCCGTATCCCTGTGTTTGTTTGCTCTGTACATTCGTTTGGTATGTTACAATTACGTCCAAGAAACTTTTAGTTTGTTCTATCATTTTTAAGAATTGAATTAAGTTCTATTTTCAGGCTGAGTAATCTAACATAATGGCAGATTCATCGTACGAAAAGGGACTAACCGAGCTGTCGAAAATGAAAGTGAGTATGAAAACTAACCTATGAGCATGTGCATGGAGCCGTTAATAAATATTTTTTATATTCCACATTAACTATTTCTTTATACTGTTTAAATTTTTGAGATAAATATCTTAAATTTTTAAAAGTCAACAATGTTGAATTACTTACTTAATTTTTCAGGTAGCAGACTTAAAAGCTGAACTGAAGCAGAGAGGATTGCCTATTAATGGCAATAAGAATGAATTAGTAGAACGTCTACAATTAGCCATGCATGGTAATGATTCTCTATATTACTTTTTGTTGAGGAATTTCAATTATAAAACTGAATTTCTCAACTTTTAGATTCCTCACTTTCATTGGATGAAACTAATGATGAGATACTTGACGAAGATGCAGTTTTGGGAGTAAGTATTCATATATTTTATAATAATAGTATTCCTTGTTCCTTGTATTTACATTTAAATGAATAGGATGAAGAAATTGAAGAGACTGAAGAGTTAGAGAATACAAAACCAGATGGTAATCAAGCAGCTGAGAAAAGAAAGTTACCCGAAGAAAACAATACTGCTACAAAAAAAGTGATTTTAAACAGGAAAAATATCATGGAAGAAATAAAGGTTGATGTTGCTCAGAAAGAAGAAGCAAAAAATGAAAAGCCAGCAGAAGATACTGATGATAAAAAAGTGGTAAAGATGAAGGAGCTGGCAGTCATGAGTAGCAATGAGGTATTCATATAAATTTTTTTAGTGAATAATAAACTATAAGAAATTATTTTTAAAACATGTTATTTCTCTACAGCGATTAGAATTAAGAGCCAAGAAATTTGGTGTTCCATTAACAGATAGTGCTAAAAAAGAAGCTCGTGCTGCAAGATTCAATATTACAGCTAATTCTAATACTACCACAAATAGCAAATCAGCTGCATCAATCAAAAGTGGCATTGTAGTAAGTAGTTTATTACATCTACTTACTCACATACTACATTAAACTCAGATTTATTTTTATCTTTTATTATTTATTGAAAAATATTATTACTATAGGACACAAATTTTGAATTACTGAAGAAGAGAGGAGAACGTTTTGGAACAAATGTTTCAAGTTTATTAGAAAAGGTTTAAAATTTTGTATCAATATTTGAAATGTAATTTCAGTGAAAAAATCATTCAATAAATAACGTTCAAATATTTTATTTTTTTAGGCTGAAATAGAAGATAAAAAAGAAAAGCGCAAAGCCAGGTTTGGAGAAGTTAAACCTCTTGAAATAAATTCTACTAAAATAAAACTTGTCAAATGATATTCAGTTATCTATGCTAAGTCAGTACTTTAGATTATGACGTATGATTATGACTTATTTTAAGCTCTTTTCAATAGCTTGGTAATCAAATGTAAATATTATTGAATAATTTTTTATGTAATCACTGACTAGAAAGCTCAATAAATCAGAGAAATTCCATGTAAAAATCATAAGACGTCTTTATTTTATCAGCAAATCATTTCTCTTTTCATCAGCATTTGTGATACACAATCGAATTTATTAGCATTTTGGCGCATTAATTTTCGCAGTATTTTTTTTGTTATCAAAAGATGCAAAAGCAGAAGAGGGCACGAACTTAAAAAATAATAAATAGATTGTAAACATCATGGTTTCTACAAAGTAAAAATATAACAAGATTTTTTCCAAACTAGAATATAAAAGAATAGAATATTTTTAGTTCCTAAACGAATAAAGACTGCTATGTATACTTGCAAAAGACATCGTTGATGTAATAACATTTTTCATTTATTTTTATCCACGATCATTTGTGCAAAATAATTTTTAAAATCTTGAAAAAAATATCAATGAGTAGTTATTACTAAAATAGATTTATAAAATGTTTTTTACTGAATTTAAAAAACTTGCTATTTCAATAGTAGAATAACAATCTAAAAGTAAAATACCTTTGAATAAGTAAAATCGCAATAGTTTAATATGAAATAACATTGCGAAAAAGCAGTACGTTTTCCAAGATTTTAAAAGTACTTGATGCAATGTCTTAGAAGATACTTTGCAAATATTAATTGTACATTTTTGGCTTTATTATAATTATTCTTTAACGAATTCCAACGTTTGTTACGATGTGCTATTTTCGAAAGAGCAATCGTCCACTCTTCGTTCTAAAAACTATTAATCCTCTCTCGTTAATTATTTTTCATTGTATTTTTTTTGTTTCTTTTTTCTTATTTTTGTATTTTTTTGTTTGATTTTCACGATCACTGGTGTGACAGTGTGCGCCAGCGACGTGCTATAATCTTCACAGCTTCCAAAAGGCTCATTGCAACGACTGTTCATCGAGAAGTGCAATGTTCTGAACTTTACCTCAGTGCGATCACTTCATATAAATTATATATATAAATATTTATACATATACATATATATGTTTGTGTGTATACATATATATATATACATAATATTTATTTATACGATATTTTTAATATATTATGCGACCACATGCAAGATCAACCCTGGATAGAATATTTTACTGAAAACCACTTATAAACATTAATTACCTCTTGTAGGTTTTTTTGGTTAACGCTAATAGGTATTTTTCGTATGCTATTTGGATGAAAAACGGAAATTGCAATGTACATGCTGTAGTTTCAGGTAACATTTAAGATGATATATCGTCTTAATTTTGTAGAACTTAATCAACAGACGAAAATTCAACAAGACTATTACAGATCTTTAGTTAAATGCGTTCTCTAAATAATCAATACACATTTGAAATGTTTGTTCTGCTAAGTAAGTTAATCATCTAGTGTAGCATAACTAAAAAACAATTTTTTTAAATTCATTATAAAATCCTAATGTTCTCAATGTAATTTTCTAACTAGGGAAGTCCACATAGTCATTATACTAAATTCTCGGGAAACACGGAGGTTACGAAAAAATGAACATAACATCGTCCCTTTCCTCTTTATACTTAAATTTAAAAAAATGTTACTCCTTCGCCTTTTACTTCCAAAAAACAAGGCATTTCTTACGTAACTTTGTCACAGACACTTTTCCATCATATCAATTAGAACGAACAATACGTACGCAAAGAAAGCTCATCGGAATCAGCTATAATACCATTCGAGTATAAAAAGAAAAAATAACTTATCACTTCATGACAAAAATTTAGGCCCGAACTTGTAATATTCTTCCGGGTCTTTGTTTCCAGCCATAGTGTCAATCACTGGCTTTCAGTATTTTTTTTACTTTTTTCCAATACGTAAATGTGTTGTGCCTCTATAGAGTTAGATTTTAGGCCCCTATGAAAAACAGCGCTTAACTAATAGTTGTAGATTCTTTTTGTTTGACTTCAAGAACAGATACACTTGCGAGCACCAAAAAAGTTTACTTCGGTCTAGTTGGTGTGGGAAGAATGAAGCTCGTCGTCGAAACCGAGGCTGGATTTGGAGTTGATAAAGGTGTCTCACTTGTATTTATGCCCTCACTCTTGTACCTAATATTAGTATATTCCCGTCCAAGTTGAAGTGACTTCTATAAAGAAAAAAAATACATCTTTTAAAGTATCAAATTAAACTACCATATTATTTACAAGTAGATAACTGACCTGTTCAGCCTGCATTCGTTGAGAAACTGTTTCGATATAGTGCAAAACAGCGAGATAAACAAATTTGTATTGTGCTTCAGTCTGCACCATTCCTGATCTTTGAGAACGTACCCTTTGAATAGTTCTCTGAATATCAATTTCACAATCGAGTCCTAAATTAAAAAATCCACTTCTTTAGAAAAATATTTCCAAACTAAAATTTCAAGAGATTTGCATAAATCTAGAGCTCACCGTGTCTCTTTATCTGATCTAAAATCATATCGATAACAATGAAGGTACCAGTTCGCCCAATACCAGCACTGCAATGTACGAGTATAGGACCAACGCTCGAGTTTTGACCATTTGGCGATTTACCACCAGTAATAGATTCTTGTCGAGCGTTCACGTCATGCAAGAAATTCAGCACGCAACCTGGATCTGCTGGCACTCCATGATCAGGCCATGCCTGTAGAAAATTATTATTTTACAATTCTCGTGTTCATTAACGATCGATTGATAACATTTATGGTTATAATGTTTACCTGGAAATGATAATGATAAATACGTCGTGGCTCACTGAAGTTGGACTTAGTACCATGCAGTATAAACTCCCGTAGCGTGTAATCAGCCGTGGAGGTGCGACTTATCGCTCGGACTTTCCACTCGTTGCTGTACTCCTTTGTTTCGCCTTCTTCGGGCCAATAACGTGCGCACTTATTCTGTGAAAAACAAAAACATTAAAACGATGTAATGCATTTAGTTTGTAACAATACAGATATGATGTGATACTTCAAAATTTCCTTGAACATATGACTCACCTTTCCCCTTTCCATCTCCTTGGTGGTCATAACGATAACGCGAGTGTTCTCTTGGTAAACCATATGCCAGAAGTCAGCAATCGTATTTGGTAAACAGCCTTGCGTGGCAATGTAACATTTGCTGTACGCTCCACTGTCTGCATTCCCAACTGTCCCCGACTCATCTTCGTTCTATGCGAATATAAGTGACACACGTTTATAATCGCTAAGTTGAATTATTGAATAGTTATACGTATCTTTTTTCAGCGATTTTACCTTGATGTAATTTGCATTGATATAGTCAGATCCCGGTATGTTTGGATCGACATCTTTTAATTTTACCCTCGTGTGATCGACTGGACACCCAAAAAAATTAACTAAACCCAAGCGCTACATGTAAAAGTGAGTAGTAATACAACGGAAGACTTACACGGTAAAATATTCTTGTATCGATTCTTGGCTCTATTTTCCGGACGAAGACCTTCCTTTCTGGAGAACAAGTGTCGGCATTCGAGTTGTTGTAGTGATTCGAACTCCTCCCAGAAGCCAGCTTTTCCTTTACCTGACTCAGTACCCTCATCCTCGCCATTTGCACCGTTCCAGCAAAGCCAACCATTCGAGCAGCCGTTTTCCTTGTGTAGTTGGCGAACTCGGCTCTCGATGCCGCTCGCATTTATTCTAGTCGCGTTGAATGGTTGTCTACACAAACGCACGGTTCATTACTATTCAAATGTATATATTTTCAAAAGTATCATAATACTTGATTAATATGATGTATCGCAATAAACACATTAAATAAATATATTCGAATTCATCGTTTTCCTACTGCTACAAGGAGAAAATTCCTATAATGTCTCGCAAGTAATTGAAGAGTTCAGAAACTTAGTTTAGAATTTTTGGAAGTTCTTCGACAAGATTTATAGCTCGGTTTTTCAGTCATCACTTTTAAATTTAGGCGCTGGAAAAGTTTTGTCTCGTGAATTTACTTTTCGTTCTTTTAATGAGCAATTAACGAAATTTCTGCTACAATGAAAATGTAAATTTGAGAAGTTTTATGTAGCAGCATCAAAATAGATCTGTCAATTCAAAAGTTTTCGCGGTAAAAGTTCTTATTCAGTTGTGGCGAAATATCGAAAACTCATTATGCAAGGTCTGGATAGAACCGAATAAAATTTTAATTCCATTTAAAGTATGTCGGTCAACTTAAATCTCACCGCAAATGCACGACGCTTCCACTTGTTTCAACCATTGGATTTCTCTTATAATACTCGATCAGGTCACTAAGACTGTCAAATTGGTCACCTCCACCCACGTCGTATTTATTGTCCTGCAAGCAAATTTTGGTGGTCACACACACTTCCCAAAAAAAAAAAGAAATATAAAAAAACAATTATGCATGTCTCACCTGAGATCTAATCATCACATGAGTGACGCGATCATCGGTGCGCGCGGACAAGACGAAGTCGCCGGGTTTACTCTGTGATTCTCGCACGAGAAACGAGCCGTTCTTGCCGCGCTCCAGCATCAGTCTTTCAGCCTCTTTGGCCGACAAGTGGCCGTGAAACCACCTTCCCAATACACAAACACACGTTGAAAAAATTATGATTCAGTCGCATGCTGAGCGGCAGCAGTAGCAGCGTTGCGTTGACGCAAGACGTAAGCATTTCCATTTTCGTTCAAGACTTACCTCTCAGTCGTTGGATCGGCGCAGTTAAGCGGATACTTCAGCTCGATTATCTCGCCGTTCTTCTCGCGCAACTGCCCGCCGTTTTCCATATAAAATTGCACCAGTTCTGACAGCGTGGCGAACTTCTCACCTCCATATAGGTCGTAAAAGTCACCGGTGTTCTGGATCTTTATGTGCGTTACTTCGCCATTACGCCTGAGCAATAATACAAGCGACTTCGTTAAGGAAAACGAAACTCTTTCATCCTTTTTCACGAGAACACATAAAATTTTTTTAAGTCTCGTTTTTTTAAGTGTTTTCCGGGATTCCGCTCGTGCGACGGTGACTCGCTCGTTCTTTTAAATTGGTAACACCTTGGGCTCTTTAATTATGCGAAAAAATTTGTTTGAAAGTGTCAACAGGATTTACGTTATCATTGTTTAGGTTGCATCACAAGTTCTCCACATTGAGTAGACAATCCGTTGACAAATGGGTTTTTAGCAAGAATACTGCGTTTTTTAAATACATTATCAGTGAAAACGAAAATTAGCAACGTCGTTCAACGTCAACATAAAAACGCTTGTTATAAGAAAAGAAAAAAGAGTCAATGCCGTAAGTTACTTATTTTTTACAATGTAAAACAACCGAGACACCGCAAACTCCAGTACAAAAAAATTGTCCACATTACGGTTTTTTTAATTACACTGTAGTTTCACTTTGAAAAGTGTAAGAAAGCTGCTATTTTAGAAAAGGAAATACAAACTGTACTTTTCCATTAAAAAAAAACTAATTCCTTACTAGAAATCTCAATCATGAACCTCGATATAATAACGCATCTAATTTAATCACTCTGATAGCGTGCTGACGAAATATAGTCAAGATCAAGGTAACGAAGGAAAATATCTCACGAAATGCGCATCGCGACTTTTAATATTGATAAAACAGTTTACCTGACAGATAAAGTGAAGTCACCGGGATTCGATGAACTAGGCCTGGCAAGGAAGGAACTGTCGAAGCCTCGTTCCAACAACAATCGTTCTGCCTCGAGACCCGTGATGTTCGGATGAAACCATCTATAACAATAATAATCCCAATCACCACGAGTTTTTGATACTCGCTTTTTTCTGTCACATGAGCACGCGCGCGCGCAAAGACGTTGGTGTTGCCGCGCCCATGTGAGTAAAAATAAAAAAAAAGAGGAAAAGTAACACACATGCAACCCGAATATTATGTAGATTATACTAAATAAATCAGATGAGTAATGTCGGCAGCGGTGGAATATACCTGTTTACGTTAAAAGGCAGGTTGTATTGTGTCGCGACAAAGTAGTGTTATTTTGGAGCGAGATGACGAGCGTTTTGCGAAGAGGCGGTTATCAGTGCGCAAAGAGCAACCCCAAAGTCGAGCGTTATCGCGTCGACTCACCTTTCCATACAAAGCCTTAGCGACTCCCCATTGTCGGACGTTTAATGGCAAACTCGCACTAATAGTATGAGAACAATAAAAAGTGTATCTAGCGCGAGAGATAGAAAACTACAACTGTCCACTGCTGTAGACGAGAGCGAAAACACAGCAGCTAGGTGCATGTACACACACGCACAGCGGAAAAGTGGGACTAAACTGCGCGCGCGCGCGGCTACGACGAACATACACGAGAGCTGCCTCACGAGGATTATTTCGCGGAAGGAAGAGGTGGAGGTGGTAGGTGGTAGGAGATGTTCTTAGCGCCGCGTCATTGTTGTCGAGGCTAAAACTATATTCTGCGCGCTTTTTCGTATGCTAATCGGCCAACAGGCTTTCCCAAGGTTCCCTTTGCCGCTGCTGCGCACCTACATAAGTGGCATAATGTGCGCGCGAGGGAATTAATTGAATCAATTTTCCGCGATCGATTATGCGCAAGATTTCTATATAAGCAACGCGCGCGAATACTCCAGTTTTTCTTTCGAGCGTGTATCAGTTGCTATACGATACTGAAACTGTCTGTGCTTCATGTATGGAGCTTGAGATATACTTATATGTATTTTTTTTTATCGAAAAATGCAAGAGTCACGTCCAATTTTCCTTTTCGTACAATTATGTAAAAGATGGTTGCTGTAACTATTTGAAATTATGTGTGCCGAGAATGTATGATTACGAAACAATTACTGTATTTCATTTTTTTTCTTTTCCTGAAAAACACAAGTCAATTAACGAATACAAACGTATCCATTAATTGAGAAAGTTCAATTGTCATTAATGGATCTCACGAGTATTAACAATTTGTGAAGTTGCTTGGAAGAATGCACTTTGTGTGCGTGGAAAAATTAAAAATAAAAAATAGAATTGAATTTAAAAATTAACAACAATTTTAGCGTGCGCTCGTGTTCGAATTTATCATCCAAACACAATGCCGGTATCATCATATTTTCATACAATTTTATACGATTCATTCTTCTGCCATATATAGACAAAACTTACGTATGGTATAGAGCATTTTTAATTAAAAGTTACGTCAAATCACAACAACCGTTTCGTATCCCAAGAACCACGACGACGATATTAATGAGAGCAAATGATTAAATAACCGCATGTGAATGAAAAGTGAAAGGGCATCGTGAGCGCGAGTGCACACACAAGTGTACAATCGCATTATAAGATTTTCTCGGCTCATCATCTTCAAAAGTTCAACGCTCTACTTCTTTTTAAAATTGAAATCGAAAATTTCATGAGTATCCCTAAAACACCATTAAATATTGCACGGGAAAGTGTATTCATGAATGTCTAAGCATTGGAAAACGAGATAGTATATACGTGCACAGGATACTAATTATCTCGTCAGCGTGCTTTTAATCGCTTATATACGCGATTATTTGCACTTGAAAGAGAGAAGAGAGAAAAAAGCTCATCGTCGGCGTATAATTGTCGGCGCGCGAGCTCGAAGGCGTGCTCAGCGTGACCGATCGTTCTCTCATTGCCATCTCTCCTCTCCCTCTCTCTCACTCTCTTTCTCTCTTTCTTTCTCTCTCTCTCTCTCTCTCTCTCTCTCTCTCTCTCTCTCTCTCTCTCTCTCTCTCTCTCTGTCTATACACAGCGCGTGACGGAATATCAATTGCGCGGGTGAATCATCATGGGTTTCAGGCGGGACAATCAAAAGTGAAGAAAAGAAAAAAAACGACGAGTTATCGACGAGAGTGAGATTCGCCGCTGTGGCGCGCAAGAACTCTCAGTGTGTGTCCTTTCACCAAAGCTATTAATAGCCTGGTACCAAGCAGCAACAGCAGCAGTAGCAGGCAGCAACAGCGGCGCGCATCCTTACCGATAAGAAGAGCGAGAAGTGTTGCACATGTATGTGTTGTACTCACCTGCGAGATGCCATGGTGTTGTTGCTTCTCTTTCTCTTTCTTTTCACCACACGTCCAATCAATAATTCATAATGCCGCGCCGTGGAATGCCTAGCGGTGATCAGGCTCCATGCGTGCACCACTATCTGGCTCTCTCTCTCTCTCTCCCTCCTTCTCTCTCTCTCTCTCGCACACACTCTATCTTTATCGCGAAAGACCAGCTGAGCTTCGATGGCCTTGGAGTGTGCGCGCAGAAGCAGAGCAGCCGGTTTGTTCTTCGGGCTATCGATGATAATGTTCAAAGGTTTTCAGCGGCAATGAGATTTCGATGACGATAGAATGTTGAAGCAACCGATGATCCAGTTTTTCGATGATGGAGCACATACACACGAGCATACACATAGGCACAGAAAATAACCACACCAGAAGCTACGACGAGAGAGAGAGGCGAGCAGTCAGCCGCGCGACCAACACCGCTGCCGCCACCGACACTCAGCCGACATTTTCGAGTGGCTGCCTTCTCCCTCTCTTTTCCTCACATCCTCGCACAGTATAACGCCTCTGGCCGGCCGTCTATCGCTATCTCGTTCGTGCTCATACGTAACGATGCAACGAACCCAGCTGCGGATAAGCCTTGTTCGTGTTGCAAGCTTCCTCCTCGCAGCTGATCGCACGTCATTTTACCGCGCATTCTGGCGCAAGAATTAAAAAATATTGAAGTTATAACTAAAATATCACTCAGATTGACATACTTAACTATTAACACCACAATTAAATTTCGCGATATCATAAGTTGCGATTGTGTTCTTTAATAATACATTATTATTTTTAAGTTATTTATTACAATTTTTATACCCATTTATAACGCGATACAAAACATTTTATAAATTTTTGGATAATGATATTTTCTACTGTGCATAAGAACAAAATAATCTTATCTTTAGTGATAATGTATTAAAAAATCTCAATACTCCTTCGGAAATAAAAATTTAATTAACAATTTTGAAATTTATCCTACTGTCATTTAAACGATTTTTGGTTATCACTCCAAATTTAATGATTCATTTATTAAGGACTGTTTAATTTTGACGTTAATGAGTATTTTGAAACCAATACGATTATATATCAATTATATATAATAGTATTGAATAAATCCTACTGCTGATAAAGGTGAAAATTTATTTACCTCTTATGATCGTCATAAAGTCGTTCAGTAAGACCGTAATGTTGCTTGAATGTGCATACAACCGTACAATCGAATAAACTTTTTTGCACTTCAGTATCTCATTGGACAGTAAGATTATGGAGGGCTTTTTAAATACATGTGCTTCGAATAATATCCGAATAATAAAGAAAGTTAATTAATTAAAAATTTATGTTGTGAAATCACTTTAATGCATTAATAGTACATAAAAAATAATAATACATAAAAAATAAGCTTATTGTAATTTGCAATAATTATTCTGATTCATCCTATATTGTTACATGGACTAAGTTGAAAAACAAGTTATTCTACTTGTGTTTATTTTCATTTAACTTATTGCACATCTAATTATATTAATAGCATGGTTCAAATAATTGATATGCGCGATAGTATTTAGGAAAATTAGTATCTATACGGCCACCAGCGCATTAGATTCTTATACGCATATGCGATAGCAAGGCCACGATCTTGATGAATTTTTGTAACGTCAAATTTGAAAATTTGAATTATTCTTCAAAATTTCAGTATATTTTAAAGAAAGATTTATCATTATTTCAGAAATTAAAAAAAAAGTTTTTTTATGTACTGCAGTTATTTTTCAACGTAAAAGTTTTTTTCTTTTTTTTTTGTTTGTGCTAAGCAAATATTGCACTTAATTTTTATCATACATATAAACATAATCAAAATAAATCTATATCGTGCGCTTTATAATAAAAATGTTAAATATTCCATAAAAACAAAGACGAATCAATTCCATGCGAACCCTATTTCTTTTTTGTTCCTTTTCTAAATCAGTCTTGTTGATAGTATTTATGTTTCTCATATATGAAAAGAAAGTTTAAAAAAATGCACGGATTCGGATTTACTTTTGAGAACGCGCATCAACAAGAACCTCACAGACAATCGGTATTTCGTGACAAAGACCATGATCCAAGGCAAGACGCCGGACGAAGCTCTTCTCCGCAGGGTCGTATCTTTAATATCAGGGTTGGAGAGGTTGGTTCGAGAGGAAATTGGATCGCTTCATCTCCGAAGAATCGTATCTTTGATACTGTTTACAAACCTACGACTCTCAATACTGATAAAAGTGATAGGTAAGGCTCGTGAATTTTCCAAATAATAGTGGTTATGTTATAGTTTTACACGACTCTGAAAAAATCTAGCATTTTACCAAATCATAAAAATATTTTTTAACAACTTTTAATTGAATATGATGGGCTGAAATCGAATTTTGATGATTGTGTTGTGGATGTTACTATTATAGACATTATTTTATTGATTGATTGCAAAAATTAGACATAATACATCAATTTATTAATAACTTAAATTTAAGTTTCTCAAAAATATACACTATCATGTGAATAACAACTATTATTAATATACGAATCCCTAATTTTCTGAATAAAATGTTAACCGGGATACGTCATCTTAAGCGTTCAATGTTCTCAGTAGACGCAAATGTGGTCGCAACGTATATGTAAATATTCAGCGCTACTTTTTCACCCATTTGAGGCGAAAAGTAGTGTGGCAACTCGATGACCCTCTTGGGACAAATATAACGGGATGTCCCTCGCATGTCTATATGGACACTTGTCGCAGAGAAATGCACCTCGTAAAAATCCAATTGACTTACGTGTGTGGAATTCGACCTCACGGCGCACTGAAGTGAAACCGAGACTGTGCAAATTTGTGGTAGGAGTGATGGATACATTTTGGAGTTTGTTGGGGGGATATATTAAAATATTTACAAAAATTTACAATAATAAATTTTATAAAAAATAATATTTCGTTCGATAATTTTTTCTGTAACAGAAGTTTATTTGGAACATAATAAAAGAAATATTAATTGAACATTATACCACTTTATCATAAAATAAACTAAATTTTTAAATTATTATGCTGAAAGTAGAAAAAGAGTTTTGCAAGTATAATTGACACTCGGAAACATATTTTCTTATTCGTTTTATTCCAGTACATTATTGTTTGCAATCCTCGCTAATTGTTGCCGTAAACTTCTCGTTGACTCTTGTCAGTCAACAAATACATTTAAAATTTTGAGTTGAAACCCTGAAAACGATATTTCAATGTCATTGATTTTACAAATAATTAGTGCAAACTTACGAGAACTCTTAAAAATTATAGGGATTTCGGAGCTCATAAGAACTTTCAAAGATTTCTAACGTTTTCCGAGTTTCTCTTGGAAAAACTTTCTAGCGTAACAATAACAGATGCCCGCGTAGAATGATGCAAAATATATGAAATTGAAGGTTGGGTAATACCATGGCCTACTTGTGAGTTTTATGACTACCTGTCAGTTCGATTGGATGTAATTTCTAGTCTTGAAATATAAATAACTAGCTCAAGAGCAAATAATTTTGGTCTACGTGTAGAAACGAAAATGTATTTGGGTGCACGTGTATTATTATTGCAAACAATAATTTGTTAGTCTATCCATTATAAGTTCAGAACAATTCAATCATAGATCGTCGTAAACCTACGATCAATAGACATATTATCAAAAGCGCCGTGTTGCCGTATTATTCATATCATTCATCATCTAACGCTTGCTTAATCACACCATAGATAATTGACTTGAAAAGTGATAATAACACACATAGCGATTGAGCACAGCCATTCGAAAATTACTTGGTGCCACGCATGTGTTTGTAACAATAAGGAAAGTCCCCGCATCCTTCTCATTTCTCTCGCGTGTGTGCGCATACAAAAGGCGACGAAAAAAAAAAGAGGATCGTCGGGCGCGCAAACCACTTTCACCACTCAGCTCTGCCTTTGCTCTGTGCTTCGACGAACCCGCAATGTGTATCGACTTCGTGCTGTTTTTTTTTTTTATTCCTCGCTCAACTTCGTTGCCCTGCTATACTACAGCTCACTTTTAGAAAGTCGCGCGAACGCTATTCGCAGGCTGCTGCTGCTGCGACAACTCGTTCTGGCGTTTTGCGATTATGAATGGGTTCTAACTGCCCATGCTCATTAATTGTTTTTGCCAATAGCTCTTTCCAGAGTCTTTTCGTAAACCTTTGCGTGAATGCGTTCTTCTTCTCTTCTTTGTTCTCGTTGGTAATTAGGAGCAGTAATGCTTTAAACGCCGTTGCCTTGCCCTTTCAAACTTTCTTCGGAAATGCAAATTTCGATAGAGAATAATAATGATAGGCTGCGATAAAATTTTTCAATAAGTTATACTCAATGAGAAAGTTAATAACAATTCGAAAAAAAAACTTACGTGATAATCTCGTGCCATTTTATAACGGAATGTATCATAAATTATAATATTATTTAATTTTGATGATAACGAATGGCAGCCATGATAATAAAATATCCGTATAATTTAATCCGAAATGAAGCAATAACGAAAGATATAGACATTTAAAATAAATGCCCATATCGAGATCGCAGACAATATTGAACAATCAAACTCAATATCACACGGTAGACACTGAGAAATTGAAGGGAAAGCATATCGATTCTTAAACAAGCGAAAGGATAATGTCATTTCACAATTACACATCGCAGACTCAAATCATCTATCTTCGCGAGCAGTGAGCAGCAGCGAAGCGAATTAATAGGGCCGTCAATCATAAAGTGGCCAGCAACGGCGAAAGCGAAAGATCGATTGCCACGGACGAAAGTGAATCGCAGACAGAGAAGTCGTTTCGGCGCAGCTAATCAATTGCCGATAAATCGCCGTTAATCATTCTGCGGGTAAAGTAAGCAAACGCGGGAGCATTTGTGCTCTCGAGTTTCTCAGGAAAGCCTATAGTTGAAAGTTTCTCGCTCTATAAGAGATACGATATTTCCGTTCAACGTGAGAATTTCAGTTATATGTTTTTGAAATTTGTCCTTTAAGGGAAACTAATTCGTCGCTGGAATCGTGTTAATGTAAATTTTGTAATTCTCTTATGGTTGCATGACTATAAGTTTCTCTACTATAAGCTTTGCATCATTTATTAAGTGACTGATTTTCAAACGACGTAAATTATTATGTTAACATCGTAGAATCCAACGCGCACGTGAAACAGTTTAATTTCCCGAATAAAACCTTCGCGTTTTCTCATTGTCTTTGAGCGAACGAATGAGTCACGTTTCTAAAAACAAGGATACATTTACGAACATTTTAAGATCAATTCATGTTTTTAAGACAAGATGTTGTTATAATTACCTTTATCCGTCGAATTATTGGCATGGCTATAATCTGTGTTGCGTAACAGTACACCGCACCGCAGTGAATCGTAATTATAGTAAAAGTCATTGTTTAGTTCCGAACCAAGGTCACTGATTTTTATCATAATAAAAGAGCTTGAATGCAACA